TCGTATAAAAGGAGCATTTTTTTAGGTGAAACGTTGAAAAAATATTATTTCTAGCCTACAACGTTAGACTGTTTACTTATGAATATTAATTTAATTATAAGTAACAAACATATTTAATTTTCTGAATTTGTTTTTTTTTTTAAATAAAAATTACATTATATATAATTCCCTTCATAATACTATTTTTTGTTACAAAAAATCTAGAGACAGATGCAGAAATGATTGCTACTTTGTAATTCACTTATTTTTTTTTTTTTTTTTTTAGTTTCAAAAGTAATAAAAAAAAAACAATGTCAATAAATTTATTAATGGCTTCTTTTGATCACATAAATAAATAGGTAATAAGTAAATGTAGCTAAAATTTATAATACGAGTTAATTAGTCTTAAACAAAGATATTGCAAATTTTAATAAGAGATTGCCTTAAAAGAAAGTTCTTATTTCTGTTTCGGTTTCGACTAAGAAAGGAGCCGAAATTGGGTTTCGGTTTCGGTTATAAAACCGTATTTCGGTCGGACCTGACAAGCCAGGTAGTTAAACGAGGAGAGGAATAGTAATCGAACGTGCAGATTTTAGCGCGCCTGACGATCATTAGACAAGTCTGGCAAGGCTTTCGGGGTATTCCACATTAGCCAGATTGTATTTTAAGCTGTTATCATAATATACATTTTTCTAGTACTGCACTTGTAACAGGGATCCTTACTGGGCATTGCCAACTAAAAGGACACCTTAGTAAACTGAGAGTAGTAGAAAATAGTGAGTGAAGACTCTGTGAGGGGAAGGACGAAACCTTCATTTACATTCTAACTGAATGTGTAGCACTCCAGAATCCAAGGGCACTATACCTAGGAGCATATCAAATAGAAACTTGAAGCCACTCCAAATCCGACATTTCCTTGAGAAGATATAATTGAAAGGGTCGTTATAGGCATTGAGACATTTCCTTGCTGCATTAGCGACAGAAGGGAGCACAATAGATATTTTAGGTCGCAGTGTATTAACACCCCATTCCCAACATAACATAGCGAGAAAACTGCAAAATAATGAAATCCACAAATCCCAGTTCATATTTTGGACATCCAACTACTATTATTTTTAAAATTTTAAATTCTGACAAACTGTCAGTATATTTTTTAGTCATTAAGATTACATATACGTTAAAATTAGTTATTTTTGTTTAGAATCGATAAAAAATAACATTTTAATTTTATTTGGGCCACATTTAAAAAAGTAAATTTTAATCAAATTGTATGAAACTAATTTATTTACGAGTATTAAAATTAAAAACCTAAAAGTGGCGGTGGAGCTGAGGACAGAGCATTTGCCTTCCATGCGAATAGCCTGGGTTCGAATCTGGACTATATAGGGGCAAATTTTTTTTTATGTTTTCTATTTTATAAATTAATAAAATTTATAAATTATTTTAAAATGGCTTATTTTGTCTAAACCTAAAATAATTTTTTAAATTTGTAGATTTTCGTTAGTAGTTCATAGAAAAAATATACTGCACAACTCGAGTGGATTGTCCATATCTACTCTTGTTGCGAAAATTAGGGAAATTTTTGTGATGAAAATTATTGTGATGAAAATTATTCAGTTTTTTCACTTATATATGATATTTTATTCATTTTCATAGATTCGCCAGAATTTTTTTACTTAACTTCAGTATACCTCTAGAACTATTATATTTTATATGACTAGGGTTAGGGCTTTAGCCCCCCCAGATCTGATGACATAACTTCGCCCATGTATAGTATCGCAGCACTTTTGAATAACTGGATGCCCGTATAAAAATCCAATCTAAAACAGAAAACAAATCGATTTTGCCCAGGAAAAATGACCTATAAATTTTAGTAGGACATGATGTTGACACGCATAATACACCTACCTAATATTATTAACATTTCTCATTAGCCTATCTGTTTTATACAGATCACCCGTAGGGGAGTGCCCAGTGTTAACCAGTGATGTACAATTTCAGAATACTTAATTGAAATTTCGCGTGCGAACGATGTTTTAAGCCTACAGTTACTTTTCTAGAATGAATAATTTCGAAATAATAGTAAAATGGATGCGTGGGTTGAAAGAATAAGAGAGAACGAGGAAGTTGGCCAATTTTGGTAAAATTAGACGTACCTACCTTCCTACTGTGTTTATTATTTATTATTAAATAGTTATTAAGCTGTGTTAAAAAACAACAATGATTATTTTAAAATGAAAAATTGCTTAGGTAGTTATTTTTTTAGTAAAAATACCCTATAAGGGGCATTAATAATTATTAAAATCTAATGAAAATTTGACCATGAAGTAAGTTTGTTCTAACCTATCTATAAAGCTCTAGATTTATTCTACCCTATTACAGGTTAATATTCTTGACGAATTTAACGAAAAACCATCAAATACTGGACTATTAGCAATTACTACTAACAATTAATTAAAACTTTAAAGTAGTACTGGGATTCATGAAATCTTTCACGTACTAAATAATTATATAACACCGATATCATTAGTATGAGTACCGTGAGTGACTTTCCCCATATTTACGAGCAAGTACCGGACGTATCAGGTCTTATATGGATTTGTGGATGTAATTCAAGTAAAAAGATTTATATGTCTGTTGTAGTACCATTGTTTCGAGAGTAATGTCACTGTTAATTTTAAACCGACAGCAAAGGAAATACATTTTTCATGAACCTGCTGTTTATTTTATACCGAGTAAGCCAATTAAGTAAGGAAAAATGTCGAAAAAATATATTTTAGTCTGGAGACAGAAATGAAGGGTACCTTATAATACGGTGCACCATTCTCGAAAACCTAACTCCGGTACATGTTACTGTTTATTCAATTATTATTTTGTCCTCCTCAAAACTAGTTATGAAATATTTCGAGCCTTTGTGAAGTACTGACGTTTCTACCCCTAAGGACCAGAAGAGTATAACCAGTTGCCAAAACCGCTCCACTAGCATTGTCCATGTATCTTAATTATTTATCATCAGTCTAATTTAATTTTTTGCTGTAGTATTAAAAAAAAACACCCTAATAATCTCCAGTCTTTTAATTTTTTTGTTACACCCTATTTTATTAAATAAAAATTAAAAATGAATATTAAATTTTATCAATTTGCAGATATAAATTTTTGGAAAACAGGAGTTTGTAGTTGATTTTTTTTCTATTTGCAAGTTTTTGCTAAAATCAAAAACTAATTGAGTTTTGTGGTAAACTGTTTTCCAATAATATTTTTATTTGGAACTCGTGAAAATAAATCTCTCTTTGGGGTCTATTCTGTAACAATTTCTTTATATTTAACGGCCTTTCAAAATATTGGTGGCTTATAAAAATATGTTCTGTCATTATTAAAACAGATTTCTTTAAGATAGTCCTCTAGTGTATTTTAAAGGTCCGTTTAAATAATGACAGAAGTAAAGAAGAAAATATTTTTAAAGGCCGTTAAATATAAAGGAATTGTTACAGAATAGACCCCATTATCTATTAAATTACTGTAGCCCTTGTTATTTTTTGTAAATAGAGGAAATTAGTCACACCTGAAGAATAATTCGTAATTCGGAACATATGTAATGTTGATCTTAATCAAATTATTTATGTGAAAATCTACCAAATTTTGGTTTTTCTCCTAGTAATGGATTTTCATGTAGTAAAGGCCAAAACAATAACGAAAACAGTATTTCTAAATATTATAAATAATTGTTTGTTCTTGTAATAATTAATCTTGTTTATTATTATAATAATATTTTATATACAGGGATCAATAAATTAAAATATGCTCGGACAAAGATGCCTGTTCGACAAAATGATACAGTAAGTGTATTATAGCTCTTTTCGATATTTTACTGAATTGGTAAATATTTTAGGTTGCTTATTTTTGAACCTGGACAAGTAGAAGCAGCTGAGGTATGTGTTGAGATTCAAAAAGAAAACAAACCATCGATATCTGTTTTTTATTATTTGTCACTGATGAATGGATGTTCCTTTCAGACTCCAGGACCCTTTGGCTGGTGACAGTGCTACCTTCACTCCTTAATAGTATATTGACAATAGTAGTTAAAGACCTATCAGTTGTTACAAATGGGTCTTTAGACTAGTTGGGTGTTACATTTGGTGACAGCGGTGGTCCTTTAGGCTTTAGTTAGTTGTTACATTTCTTGAAAACGGTGGTACTTTTGATTAGTTGGTAGTTACAATTTTGCTTGTACAGGATAGATGGGAATCTAAAATCATTGAAAGTTTATTCACGTATAACTTGAACGCCCCCTGTAATATTTATTCAAAATCTACACGTATTTCATTATAAATAATTATGCCTTAATTTTCCATTTATTTTTTCTTACCTTTGTCGCAATATTATCCCTTATTATTTAACCTTTATTTAACCTACTTATTTTAAATAGCGTGTACCTTATCTCTAAATCTAGTTGAAAAGAAATCCAGGTTTCCCATAAAAGTCTGAAATTATATACTAAGAAAGATGTATGGAATGAAAAAATTGCTACATTGTATTAATTAGAGTTTCTGTTCTTTTTTTTGTGGAAAAACCAAACGTTATAAAATAAGTTGTTACTTTTACTATATTAACTATAAATTTTGAGTTTATTAATTTTTTGTACCAAAGTTGTAAATATTTAAGTCCGTAAAGTGTAAAAGAGAATTAGAAGAAATAGGAAAGGACCTAAATTAGAGAACAAAATAAGAAAACTAAATCTGAAAACTAAATTGGATGGCATTTTGTAAAAAAATATATTATAACTTTATTTTATTTTGATTTTTTAGTTTACCTGTATATATATGCAAAAAATACATCGTTCTGAAACGTGAACTGAAATTTTTAAAATTTTTTAATTGATTCCTCACAAGTTTTAAAAATATCACTAAAGTCTTCTATAATAACTTTATTATTTTTATTTTTCTTACGATATCAAATTCAACAAAAATCTTGAATAAAAAAACAGCTTAATTTATTTTAGAAAATTAAAAATATAACATATTTTATTTTTTTATTAAAGATACTAAAGGTTCTCGTCTATTATTGCCCCCTACAAATTTTTCAAGTTCTTTTGGATGAACTTTTCTATAGTGCACACCCCACTTTCTGTGAATTTCTTTAGCAGCTTGAACAGGATTTCCTAAAATCAAAATACAAGTATTGGAAATCATAATTTATTGCTTGGCTAATGCATTATTTTATTAGGTGTACTAAACCATACACGACCCTTTTTCACAAGGACAATATTGATATTTTATGAATCAGTAGCGATGGTCGATTAGATCAAAAAGTTTTTACAATGGCTAAGCGATTACATACGAAGGCGTAGAAAGGCTACATACTACATAGTATATTTTTAATTTGATTTTAATCCAGAAATTTCGACTTTAATCTCGAAATTTTGACTTTATAATCGAAATATTGACTTTATAATCAAACTTTCGACTCTAAAAAATCTTTAATTTTGAAATTTAGATTTTTAAATCGAAATTTCGATTTTAAATTCTAAATTTTGACTTTAATTTCAAAACTTCAACTCTAAAAACTTTGAATTTCAACTTTTAATCTCGAAATTTCGACTTTAAATTCTAAATTTCAACCTAGACAAGAAATGTTTGTCTTTGTAATCGAAATTTTGATTTTATAATCGTAATTTCGACTTTAATCTCGAAACTTCGACTCTAAAAACTCTAATTTCAACTTTAATCTCGAAATTTCTACTTTAAAATCGAAATTTTGACTTTAAACTCTGAATTTTGACTTTAATCTCGAAATTTCGACTTAAACAGAAATTTTGACTTTGTAATCGAAATTTTGACTTTGTAATCGAAATTTTGACTTTATAATCAAAATTTCGACTTTAGTCTCGAAAATTGGACTTTAATCTCGAAACTTGGGCTTTAAAATCTCTGAATTTCGACTTTAAAATCAAAATTTCGATATTAATCTCGACATTTCTGCCTTAATCTTTCAATTTGACTTAAGTTTTGAAATTTCGAATTTAATCTTGAAATTTTGACTTTATAATCGAAATTTCGACTCTGAAAACTGTAAATTTCAACTTTTCTCTCAAAATTTCGACTTTAATCTCGAAATTATGACTTTAGTCTCGAAATTTCGACTTTTAACATCGAAATTTTAACTTTATAATCGTAATTTCAGCTTTTATTTGGAAAATTCGACCCTAAAAATTGTGAATTTCGACTTTAATCTCGAAATTTCGATTTTAAAATAGTAATTTTGACTTTATATAATCGAATTTTTGACTTTAATCTCGAATCTTCGACTCTAAAAACTCTGATTTGAAACTTAAATTTTAAATTTATTAATCGAAATTTTGAGTTTAAAAACTATGAATTTCGATATTTTGACCTCAATTTCAAAATTTCGACTTTAATCTTAAAATTTCGACTTTAATCTTAAAATTTTGACTTTAATCTCAAAACTACGACCTTAATTTCGATATTTCTTTCGACTGTAATCTCGAAATTTCGACTTAACACAAAAATTTTGATTTTGTATTGGAAATGTTGACTCTAAAAACTCTAAATCTCGATATATCGACCTTAATCTCGATATTTCGGCTTTAAACATCGAAATTTTGATATTTATAATAGACATTTTGACTTTATAATCGAAATTTTTACTCTAATATCAAAACTTTGACTCTTAATATTCTGAACTTTGACCTTGATTTCGAGTTTTAACATCGAAATTTAGCCTTTATAATCGAAATTTTGACTTTATAATCGAAATTTCGACTATAACCTCGAAACTTCGATATTAAATACTGTGAATTTCGACTTTATTCTTGAAATCTCGAATTTAAAAGTCCAATTTCGTTATTAAAGTCGAAATTAACCTTGGCACAGGCTGTATATGTAATCTTTTTGGAGCAAATCTAATTATTCGTTCTTGCTATTCCAGGAAAGCATAAGGATTTGTGAAGTTGATAAAACTTTAGTCTTAGCTACTAGTTGGAGTACCTACCTACTGCATATAACCCTAAAGTATAACAGGAAACAGCACTATTTGATGAAGGTTTACAAAAATTCAATGGGAATTATTTCTATAAGAAATGTACCCTCATTATAATGAGTACAATTTCTTATTTTTATTTGTTTCAGAAATTTTAAACTGATACAAATCTTTCAGTTTATTTTTTACATTGGATTTAGTTGAAACATTTTTAAAAAGGAAAAATGTTATGCCGAAAAAAAATTATATCGGGATATGTTTTAAGAATGCTCGCTACACGCTACTGTCTTTTGGCGTTAAGGTAGGGCAGTTGATGAGCATACACGCACGCCTCATTTGTTGATTAAATTATTCTGGCGACCTAATTTAGTGATTAATTAGATCAACGAGTCTCTTGCGAATTACATAAACCATTACATGGCATGTTGCTTTAAGTAGAAAATTTCATTCATAAAACTTCCTTGAAATGAGAAATGAGAGGGGAGAAATTAATCAATGGAACAATTTTACTGGTCGACTCTGTCTCAAGGAGACAGAGTTACCAATATATGAAGGAAATTAGAAAAACATCATTAATTAATTAAAAAAACCGTACATCATTGATAATTCCTTTATTCTTCCATATTCCAGTGAGTTAATTTACGTATCATAACACGAAACATATTTAATGTCAGAAATGTATACTCGATGGTAATTTTTAAATTGATTGAGTGCTTATTTCAGCCATTTTTGTAAAATTACGTTGTCAGACTAACTCAGATCGGATTTCGTTAACAAATTATTTATTCACAATGAAGAGAAAAAGTTTGCGAAAACCAAACTAAATCATCTATTGAAAAATATTAGCAGCGTATAATTACTTTCGCCAAGAACCATACATATTTTTAACCGTAAACCTGAATACGCTTCTGTACAGGCACGCGTTTGCATAAAAATAGGACCTTATAAAAACCTTATCAAAACTTTCCCACAAAAAAAACCTTATTCAAGAATAAGCTGTTCGTCCAGGGGTAGTATTCTCGAATCACGAATACCGACATTCGCATACGTGTTTTACAATGTGTCTCACTTTGTTGAACGAAAACCAAGTGAGACAAATCATAAATCTCGCATGCGAATCTATATTCGTGACTCGAGAATACTACCCCAGACCTTGTTAGAACCAGCGCACTCGAGTAGGTAATTAATATGTCTTCACTGATACCTACATTGATAATACAGATAATGACAGCTTTGGTTATGATATTTTTACATCAGAATCAAATCGAAGTTACAATTGTGTCATATAACTATTGCAAGTGCTTTAAATTGGTTAATTACCTGTTGGTTCTATTGGAAAAATACTGCGATCAAACGTGAATGGTTCTTCTACTTCCCGGAACATATTTGCTTTTACTTTTTTTTCATTAAAAGGAATATCTTTTGCAAGACTTGCATTCATTGCTGCGATAAATAAATCCCAGCGTGGTTTATAATATTTAGCGACTATACCTAAAAAAAATATTTAATTTAATATCTCTAGTTTAAAATTGAACCCAAAAAATTTCCTATATTCCACTTTTAAATACAAAACAAAGATAAAATTCTGCTACATAACACATTACTAAAAAGTAACGGGTTACTAAGAAGTAACAGGTTACTAAAATGTATTAGGTTACTAATAAGTAACGTAACAGTAAATTATTACTTTTTTAAAACTAAAGAATAATGCACAGATTGACGTGGCGAATGATCAAATTCAAAATACCCTCATAACTTTCCTTTAATGTAGTTGAAATTATCGCAAAGATATTTAAATTATCTCATATAATGAAACTAAATACATGTTTGTATTGTACCTACCTGACCACTGCTTGTTGGCATAATTAATAATTTCTCCATTAGGGCCCCATAAAGTTATTTGGTTTCTTGCATTGAATTCAAACAGATCTCTTTCCTAAAAAAGCTGCAGTTTTTATTAATATAACATTTAGTAATATTTACCTTTGAATTGTTGGCACATTTCTTTGCAGACTCGATCCAGGGTCCTAGTAAAAATGCTTTATCGGTTGAAAGTATTGTCTCCAAGTCATCAAAAATGTTTTTAAAAATACGAGATTCCACACTAAAATTAGTAATATTATTATTCAACGATTAATCAGTAAATAATATATTAATAGCTATATAAAAATAATTTTAATTTTTCTTACTAAAAACGTTCATAATCTTTCGCCTTAAATGCAGCAATGATTTTTTTATAGTAAATATCTCCGTTTATTTGAAGAGCTTGCCGTGTTAAATCTACAAGGTCGTGTGAAAATGCTGGACTGTCTTGTAATTCTTGGGCATTCTGTACAAAAATATCCCAAGCATCGAAAACATCACTGTAATTATACCAAGTCTAAAATGTAAACAATTTTAAATAACGTTTGAGTTAAAAAGTTTCGATTCTTACCCAGATATTAATGTCCAAACTTGGGGTCCAAGTGATGGAATATTTTCCTCTCATACGATCCAATCCTCTGAAGTTGTAAACAGAATCCTTGAAGTGAAAACAGTCGGTTTTAAAACTTCGGAAACTTGTCGGTTAAAGATCCGAAAAATAAGATGTAAAATTTCTTGAAAATGCCCAAAATCATCCCTAGGAAATTGTTTAAAATACATTTAAACATGACAGATAATTTAAATACCGGTCCTGTACTTAATCCACACGTGTTCAGTGACTACGTGTCAAAACAAACGTAATTGCATTTTGTTGTTATTTAACTCATCGGAAAAAGACAAAAAAAGTTTCAAAGCCAACCACTTTTTGCCCGTGACTATATGCATGCATATCTCTTTCACGAAACATCGAAAGAACCAGATCGTTCTACACGTCCTCAGAGGCCGGATGGTCTCAACTACAAAGTAGGCCGCAGGCCGCTTTGTACTATTCTTCATAATTAATATTGTTACGCAGCACCCTGCAGTAGCCTGCGGCTATTATAGGAAACGTACAGATAGAAAAAAGAAGTGGAATGTTACTCATCGCCCTACAGTGTGCTGCGGTCGTCATAAGTAAAAGTACAAGTAAAAGAGGATAAAATAGTCCAGAAATGTCTGGAAATGTCATTACCCGTCAAGAATATTCTAGACGACAGTTCGAGAAGGGTCAAACAAGCTATATAAGGATGATCCTGACGTCAGTTTTCAGTTTTATGATAGACGTTACATGTTAATGTTATCAGTTGTATAATTGTTGTTAAAGTTGAGTTGAAATAAATTGCGATACTAAAAACCTGTGTAAGCAAAGATAACAAAGTATTAGCATAAAAATAAACAGAATTTTGTAAAAAAGTGTAAAAAGTGTTTATTGTTACGAAATAAATTGTTTATATAAAAAGGTTGCTTTTCATTTTCTGAGAAAATAAGACAACCAGCACCGATTGAATCAGTCTCCTAGATAAGCGAGCCCTTCAGGGCCGTAATCACAGGTTGTATTGAATTTTACTTTTTTTATAAATAGTAATTCAATCTGAAATTATGAAAACTATCTTTGAACCTCCAAGGTAAAAATAAATTAACGAAAAATTAAAAAAAAAATCAATTTTTGTATTGAAATAATATATGGTCATTTTATGTTAAAGTATTTTTATTGTTGTTAAATCGTTTAATTGTTGTTTAATCTTGTAATTGTTGTTTAATTGTTGTTTAATCATTTAATTGTATAATCGTTTAATTGTTCTTTAATCAGTTAATTGTTGTTTAATCGTTTAATTGTTATTTACTCATTTAATTGTTGTTTAATTGTTATTTAAGTTTGTTAAATCGTTTAATCGCTTAATCGTTTAATAGTTTAATCGTTTAATCTTTTATTCGTTTAATCATTTAATTGTTCAATCGTATAATCGTTAAATCGTATAATCGTTTAATTGTTTAATTGTTTGTCTAATTGTTAAAAGTTGTGATTGTGGAAAAAGCATAGTATGTAAGTAGTTTATTGTTTGCTAATTGTTTGTTTAGTTTAATTGTTTGTTAATTGTTTGTTAATTGTTTGTTAATTGTTTGTTAATTGTTTGTTAATTGTTTGTTAATTGTTTGTTAATTGTTTGTTAATTGTTTGTTAATTGTTTGTTAATTGTTTGTTAATTGTTTGTTAATTGTTTGTTAATTGTTTGTTAATTGCTTGTTAATTGTTTGTTAATTGTTTGTTAATTGTTTGTTAATTGTTTGTTAATTGTTTGTTAATTGTTTGTTAATTGTTTGTTAATTGTTTGTTAATTGTTTGTTAATTGTTTGTTAATTGTTTGTTAATTGTTTGTTAATTGTTTGTTAATTGTTTGTTAATTGTTTGTTAATTGTTTGTTAATTGTTTGTTAATTGTTTGTTAATTGTTTGTTAATTGTTTGTTAATTGTTTGTTAATTGTTTGTTAATTGTTTGTTAATGGTTTGTTAATTGTTTGTTAATTGTTTGTTAATTGTTTGTTAATTGTTTGTTAATTGTTTGTTAATTGTTTGTTAATTGTTTGTTAATTGTTTGTTAATTGTTTGTTAATTGTTTGTTAATTGTTTGTTAATTGTTTGTTAATTGTTTGTTAATTGTTTGTTAATTGTTTGTTAATTGTTTGTTAATTGTTTGTTAATTGTTTGTTAATCGTTTGTTAATTGTTTGTTCAGTTTAATTGTTTGTTCAATTGGCTGTTTAATCGTTTGATAGTTTATTCGTTTAATCTTTTATTCGTATAATCGTTAAATCGTATAATCGTTTAATTTTTTGTTAATTGTTTAATTGTTTATTTAATTGTTTGTTTAATCGTTTGTTAAATCGTTTAGTCGCTTAATCGTTTAATAGTTTGATTATTTAGTAGTTTAATCGTATAATCGTTTAATTGTTTAATTTTTTGTTGTTTGTTTGTTTACTTGAAGTTGTGAATGTGGAAAAAATATATTATGTAAGTAGTCAAGACAATACTGTTTCCACCTGCTTGATAAACGACACACGCCTGGTTTATGCACTTGTATGAAAAGTGTTACTTTTCGTTTCACTATTTTTATACTCTTACTTTTAGAACTTGCCAAGCTCTAATTATGTCTTCGTTAACCTTTCCATATCTTCTAATCGTATAATTTCTAAACCACTGCTGTAAATCTGAAGGTTCTTTCCTCCAAGCTGACTCCGACATTAAATCGTATATAACGTAATTTTGATTAATACCCTCAGGAGTTAGGCCGGTTCCTATCATGGTACTGTTTTCTTGGTTTCTCGCTTTTATAACGTTCTAAAAAAAAAAAGAAGCTGATAATTCCAAATTTTTAAGTGTGATAAAATAATGCGAATTCCAAATATTGTCCTTATCTCAAAGTGGTATGAAAAAGATTAAGAAGAAATGAGTAAAACACAAAGTCTGCCAACCACTGGATCTTGCCAATCACAATGCTGATTTGTAACACATAAGATTGGCTTGATAAAAATGTTGATGAATTTAATTATATTCCCATGGTGTTTATTATTAAAAATGTTATCTTCTGACAAGAAAACTCAGGTTTTTCTTTAAACAATTCTTGCATTGTTTCAAGAAATCTCAAGTTTTTCTTTAAACAATTCTTGCATTGTTGCATATTGTAAAATAATTTTTCCAGTACTTAAACTTACCTCGTTTACGATACTAGCTGATCCAAACATACCAAGAGTACCACCGAAATCGTGCAACATACACCATATATACGGTTGCCCAAAATATTGCTGTAGCCTATCGAATTGGGGAAACTCTTCCGATTGTAGGTCTAATATTATCATTTTGCCCTAAAAAATAATAATTTATAAATACCTGTATGAAAATATTGATTCAGAATGTACAGGGTGTTTTTAAATTCATGCGACAAAATTCAGGAGGTGATTGCTCGTATGAAATTAAGATGGGTCTTTCCTATAACAAAATTTCCACAGCCCACCCCTTTCCAAGATATCACCTTTAAAAGGTGGTGACTAAAATTGAGTTATTTTTTTTCTAAAATTTCAGTAAACCTAGATACTTGAAATTCTGTAATTTTCGTGCACTCGCAAAGGACTAACCACGGATATTTTTTCAATATTCCTGTTACATTATAGGGGGGTGAAATTAGCAACCCTTACTTTATTTCACATCAAAACTTTTTTTCGAGATGAAGTTTTATGAAATATAATTATGCCTTGAAATCCTTGTTTTATTTAAAAAAAATTTTTATTCTTAAATTTTTTCCCAAAACCAATAGCTGTAGAGAAAAAAAAAATAAACAACATAATTTATAATTTTTTTTAATAAATTGAGTGGAAAACAGTAAATATGTAAAATGAAATACGATTCATAATAAATGCTGGAAATGACTACCTCTACCTTGTTTTTAATTACAAAGTTTTAGAATAGTAGGCTGCTGTCACTTCGACAATTCATTTACCGTGTTTACCTTTTAAGGGTGATATCTCGGAAAGGGGTGGGCTGAGAAAATTTTGTTATAGGAAAGACCACTGATCTGTATTATTTTACTGGATAGGATATAGCCCCCTAAAAAACGTTCCGAAAAATTGGCCGATTTGGGCAAATAATATGGCGGACCGGATGTTATTTAACGTAACCTCTATTTCCATTTGTCATCACATTTGTCATTTAATTGTGTCAACAAGCTACGATGAGATGTTTTTATTGTGGAAAACAAAGTAAAAAGAGTATGAAATAAACAATAAACGTTCATTCCTGAAGACACAATATGATTCACGTTTCCATTTTTATATTTTCTTTCATAAAAAATCAAATCATGGGTGAACTTTCCCGAAGGACATCGCCTGCAAAAGGAATAGAAGAAGAATAAGAAGAAAAACTAATAAAATTATAGATTAGGTATGTCAAATTTTCCCAAATTTCGGTTCTGTGAACCCACCATAATTTGCCCAAATCGGCCAGCACTTCCGGTCTCCTTGGTGGAACGATTTTTTAGTATGTTAAACATAGCCTATATCATATCCAGTAAAATAATACAGATCAGTGGGAAAGACCCATCTTAATTTCATACGAGCAATCACCTCCTGAATTTTGTCGCATGAATTTAGAAACACCCTCTATATTCACTAACATATTTTAGAATTATCAGAAATTAAAGAATACATATCGATTTTTTTTGTTTTTTATTAACTTTTTATTTTTGACATACCACTGGTACACTTGTGATGAAGGCTTTCGCTCTTTCCAAGTCCTCCCAATATTCGCTGTTATAAAATAGCCACCCTTGCATAATCCTATAAAAAATTAAAGAAAAAAATATTTAGATAATTTTACTCACATTTGGAACTGAAGTCAAGAGTGCCTTGACCCTGTTTGGCGTCCAAAAGAAAAAAGAATGAACAAATAGCCAACCCTGCATAATCCTGAAAAAATTCAACATCTAAAATAATTAATTATTTTTTAATTAATCGAAAATGTAGGAAAATATTCTTACCATACAGCATCAGGATCACTTTCGGTCATAGCTCCATAAATGCTTTTTCCAACATTGGATAAATAGTTAAGAGCAGTTGTTGGAGGATCAACTTCATTGAAACTGTCACAATTGTAAACATGGTCCGTACCAAATTCTTTTATTTGCTAGAAATGTATTATACCGAGTGACTAAAAATTATTATGACTTTTTTGACGGTTTGCAACCATTCATACTGACGTCAATTTACTTTTTTGGTGCAAACCATAGACGTGTAATAATTGTAAACTCAAATAAGTGTACTGAATTTCCTTTAATATTGAGAAACAAATAAGGTTGCTTGAAAACCGTTTTCTTTGAAAGATTCAGCAAAAGTTTTCAGTAACTAAGACCCTTTTCCTTAAAAATCAATGCTGTTTCTTACCTCCTCTAAAAACATTTTTCCAATCACTTTGAAGAGGGGTTCAGTTGGATCTAGAAAATACGGACAGCAATATGTGTCGTTGAAGTTGTTCCATATATCCATCTTTGTTACATTTACGTCTGGATATATCCTGAAATTGTTCGGAATTAATAGTAGATGAGATTAGGCAGTGCTAGACCAAGGTCAGAGGTAATAAGAGAGGTAATGGTGTTTTTTATTACCTTTGACCTTGGTCTAGCACTAGCTATTCTCATATACTCTTAATATATTAATTTTATAATAAAATAATTAATATTAGTTTTTTGGAATAATAAAATTGATTATAAATATCTATACAATATATTACCTCGAATAAAAAAGTTTTTTTGCTTTGATAAATTGCATTATATATCACGATAAAAAAAGTAAGAAATATCAACTTTCGCTAATATAAAAAAAATTATTATAGCTTTTAAATTATCTCGTAAATACAAATGAATTTACGAAATAATGTGTAACCTTAAAATTTTTATTTTTATCATGTATCAATTTTGTTTCAATATCCTACATAATTTTTAAAATTATACCCAATTATATAAATAAAAAACATCAAAACATAATTGCTTGTTTAAAAGTTGTATTACTATTTTTAAGAAAATAAGTTATTTGTTAAATTTTATATAATATAATATGGTCTAACCTTTTAATAGCCCTTGGTAAATGTCCAGCAAATGCAGGCAAAATAGGAATCATTCCAAGACTCCTCATTCTCTCAAGAATCTTTTTCTGCAACCATATTGACCTTTCGTGCCAAGCAGAAGATAAAGGGCCACCCCAACCTCTCATATTTCCCATTCTTAACCTAAAAGTAAAAATATATGTAATATTAAAAGTTAATTTTTATTAAACAATCATATTATTTTATAAATGTAATTACAACTCGCTTTTATCTGAATATGGAAAAGTTTTGACATTCCACTGTCCGATGAGGCCTATTATTAGGCATCTTTCGGGGCAAAAGGAACTACTTCTTTGGGAACAATAAGCCTAGAGCGTCAGTACGAGTGGATTTAGAATTACACCATATATTTTTTTGTATTTGACACTTTACGGTACCTGCCATTAAGCCTAGTCTCGTGGATTAATCATGAATTTTGTTTCGAAACAATCCATGAATCTTCATTAGATTGTCCTAATTACTATATAGAAGACATTCGCGCATTTTGCTGTTCTCACACACCTCGACAAGCTATATTTTTAATTCTTACATCTGTTTATTACAGAAGCGAATTCTTACATTTGTAGCGTATTATCTAATTTTAGTTCATATATTTTCTTACCATGACAAAAACGCAGGTCCAGTAAAGTGTTCGTCAATGTCTTTTTGGCTAAAATTTAGCTTCTTATATACCCTTTCCCAGATGGCTTCTTGTCCGTTAAAGGCCAGTACGAAATTATATGAGTTCAAAGCCATCCAGTCTATGTGTTTTTCCCATCGTTGCCAGTCCCACCAGACGAAGCTATAACTGGTGGTACAAGTATTTTGATAATAACGAAATCTAAAAAAGAAATAACATGTATTTTTATATACAATATCGGGATCCAAATACACATGTAACAGAGTACAAAACAAAGTCAATTCAGTCAGTAATAATAATTATTGATTGTTTCTGCATTTAATTAATGAAAATCCATATTGTTTGAGGGAGTAAAACCAAACTTGGTAGATTTTCACAAACTTTTATTAAAAAAAACACGGTTGCACTCCGGGAGTGCCGGCAGAAGTGAAAACTTGAATATTAACGTTGTGCATTTTTGCTCTCACTCCACTCTCACTCCACTCTCACTTACACTCTCTATAACTTGGCTATCTTGTTCGATTAATCGTTTTCGATGTTACAACACTACTCTCCAACCGTCTTACGAATTTTCGATCAGCCCACGTGTCCTGACGCGAGTTTCACAGTTTTTACCCATCCCACAAAAGTGCTCAACGCCGCTAAAGAAGTTTTCACTTCAAAAATTTAAATTCTTCATGACAATTGTTTTGAAGTACAACTTCTTCAAATGTGGGAGAAATTTTGAAAGCCAACTTATCCGTGGAAATTGTGATAGACTAGGCATGAAGAAAACCAGAACCACAGCATTGCATCCACAATCCGATGGAATGGTAGAACGAATGAAGAAGACCATTGGCAAATATCTGTCAAAAGTGGTTTTGAAACCATCAGCGAGATTGGGATCAGTATCTTTCGCTCTTTGCAATGGCTTATAGATCTGCTGTCAATGAATCAACCAACAAAGGTCTTGTTTGGGCGTAAGATGAGACTACCGTTCGACCTTGAGTTTGGATGCCGACCTGGGGAAGATTTAGCTGGTGAAGATTATGTGATCCAGTTATGAATAAGAATGGACGACATACATGAATTGGTCTGCTCACATCTTCAAATCGTCAGTGACAGAATGAAGAAGCGATACGATACCCAAGTCACAGAAAGGATGTTTCAAGGAAGGCGACAAATTCTGGCTCCATAACTCAAAAAGACAAAAGGGTTATTCTCCGAAGCTTCAAAGGTCTTGGGAAGGTCCGTATCTCACCAAGAAAAAAATTAATGATGTCATTTACATGAAGAAATATCCCGAACGGTAAACCAATGGAAGTGCACCAAAACCGGCTGACACCAATTGAGGGTGACCATGAAGAAGAAGAAGAAGAAGAAGCACAAAGAAACACCTGATCTTGTCTTAGAAGAATTTATGGGTACATATGGAGGTACCGGAAAAGCAAGACATGGTGTTACAACCGAGCAACAACAAGACTTGCTGGCGGTTCCTAAAAATTACTCGCTGGTCCATAGCACTTCTGCCAACAACTAAGACGCTCAAGGTCTGGTATCTGTATTTCAGAAGAAGTTTGGTCGATTGCCAGAACTTCAAGATCAGTTACCAGCCCCTGGAAAAGCATCGAAACTTCAAGATGGATCGCGTTATCTTTTCTATTTGGTAACAAAGAACACCTTCCGAGATCGATCCACCTATCATGATGAATGGGAAGCATAACTCAGTCTGAGGGAGCATGTACTGGGGTCCAATGTACAGAAACTAGCTATGTCAAAGATAGAGAGGATCCAGCTGAATTAGAGAAACATGGTGGAAGTAATCTTCCAAGATACCCAGGTTGAAATACTGGTCTGCAGCCATTCTCCCAGCGTTCAGGTTACAACGAAGAGTGTCCCTTGTTACTTCTAAGCAACTGGAAATTGTAAAAGAGGATCCAGTTGCAGATATAACCATTCAGTTTTAATTCCAGGAGGAACTATTGCTTAAGTAGGGGGCAATATCACGGGAATACCTAAGCCAACCCCGCTTAGCAAGCGACCTTAAAGTCTGACACCCGACTCATGATTGAAAAACCGGAATCTTCTAGGTATGCCACTGACATATAGAGACAAAAGCATCGCTTCTCGAAAAACCCGGATTGCGGCGTATGAATCATAGAGAGGCAATTCTCGATCATTGTGGAAAGCCTAGAAAGTTCTAGTACAAAGTTGGCCTTTATATAAATAGCGTGAGTTGTCGACGGACAAGAAGATTTAAGTTAAGTGTTGGATTGAAAAGATAAATTGTGAATTAGTGCCTAAGTATATAAAATTGTAAATAGTGTGTTTTAAATAAATAAATTAAACAAACGTAACATTAACTTTGAGAAGACTTGGATTTTCGTTGTCATTTTCATTGCATTTTTTTGCTATATCGACGATTATCTATCTGCCAAAATTGACATTTTTATACAAAGTGGTTGTTGAGTTTTGGCCAAATAAAAATTCATATTATGAAATCTTTAAAACTCTAAGACATAATGCTAGCAGAACTTATACCGTGATGTTAGATCCACTAATAATAAGTATACAGTTATTGTATGTATGATTGACTCTGTATATATTTTCTCGTGATTAACTCTATCTAGAACCGTTTTGGGACGTTCGCGGTATTTAGTTCATGAGTTTAACCTTCATGGACGATTCAAAAGAAAGCTAATACAAATTTACCTGTCGTTAAAAGAAATCGTTATGTTGGCGGCAGGAAGTTCTTCCGGTAACTCCAACTGTGAAACCTCCCAAGATATATGAGCATTACAAAAGTACTTTAAATAATGATGAAATCCTGTTGCTGCAGCTACTCCGCTTGTCCCCACTATATTTATAATACCTTTACGGTCTTTAAACACCTGCAATTCAATCATTATATATAAAACTATAAATAAATATTCAGAACATTTGTATGACTCTTACTTTAAAAGCTTCTTTATTATCGACCAAAAATTGAGGATCGACATTTACTGAAAATTTCAGAGCTTTTTGATGAAGTATCCTTTGAATAAGTTGTTGGACAGCAACAGATTGTACATCAGGACTAGCTTTTGGCTTGATATGTCCAAGTGTATTTTCAAATTCTAAAAGATATTTTAATTACATACATTTATTAGCAGAAAAAAAGTAAAATTTGTGAGCCCTGTTTTAACTGAATTAAAAAAATCATGAAAATAAATAAAAACTTTTTTAAAAATAAATTGATTGGTGATTTTTTATTTTTGTAGATGCAATGCGAACTGAGGTATGGCTCGTTGATATGTTCATAATTATAAAACATATATTTTTTAATATTTGAATATGATTTTAATCCAAACAACGCAAGTTGTCAAAAGGGGTAGTTTTCAATCCTTAACTTTTGAAGAGGAGGGTGAGATAGGGGGTTATGATGGACAAATAATGTTATTTTTAACATACACGTTATTTGTGAACAAGTTGGTTATTTTTGTGTGTTTATAAAATAACAGACCTGTTAAAAATAATACAGGTTGTCAATCATAACCCCCTCTAGCTCTATTAGAAATTTTAATCCAAATCTGTAGTAATAGCTCTATATTTTTACCATCAAATACTGGGTTATGAGTTATATATAGCTGACAAATGTGGTTAACTTAAAAAGAAGAAAAATCAAAAGTATGATTTACTAATGTAGTATATATAGTATATTAATTTCAAACTTACTGTAACATTCCACACTTGCTAAAATATATAATACTGTGAGAATCCTCATAAAAACCCCCATCTTTAAGAGTAGGTAGTCTTTTGTTATAGGTATTCGATGCCAACGTCTTAAGTTCTCTTAATAACAATTATTTTGATTGTTGAACTCTGACACTAGTCGTTAACTTTGATAAGCTAATTGATTTAGCAACAGGTCCGGCTTTAAGAACTTAAAGCAACTTCACAATAATTCTACTAATTCAATTTTCTTTCGAATATGCCGGTATTCATTCCACCATTGAAATCGACACATTGCTTGCAGGTCGTAAAAAAGTAGTAAACAAAATATGACCAAATTATTTTTATTGTAATAATAATTTTTACAGTGCCTTTAAATGGATACTATCTTTAAAAAATTAAAATAAAAGATAAATATTGATTTCGGTTACTCAAAAAAGTTTTTTAAAGTTTGTTCATATTAAATCACATTAATACAGGGTGTTCCAGTAATGTTGGTTAAATTAAAAGAGAACATATGTTTTATTTTAAATCAAACAGGCAGTACATTTTAATAAAATTCAAAAGAAATCCATCTTCTTTTTAAAAATTTAAATAACATAAAAAGAGAAGTAATTTAATTTACTAAGCCAGTTACAAAGTTATTTTTTCAGCAACTGAAAAAGCTCAAACTGTGTACATTTTTGCCGACTCTAAATTTATCATTCGTACAAGGGGGATATTCAGAAGAAAATTTGGTAAAAATCCATATCTGAATATTATTATAAATCTGATGACTTTTCTGTCTACAGGCTTTTTCTGGTTATTTTGTACAACCATTGTATCACCCCTGTTTATGTAATATAATACATTTTTCACATATACCTTACTCGAAACATTTTTTATATATATTCATTGCCAACGAAAATACTGAAAAATTAAAATTTTACGCTTTTCTCAAATTTTTGGTGAAGACCTTATTCTGCCAGCTGAAATAGAGATTATAGAAATTATGTTTGTCACACTGTTGTCCGCCGAATTGGTGATATAGCATCAGCTTCTTGTAAAGTTGATTGACAAATTGGTTTCGATTCAGCTTGACGAGGCAACATATATTAATAAAGACGCTCATTTAATTGCCTAGGTCCGATTTTGGGATGGTAGAAGAACTGCTTTTCTGAAAACCATTAGAACTCAAAGCAACAAAACTCGCTTTGTTTGATATTTTAAATGATTTTATTAATAAGGCATGATCCTCAGAGGGTCTCTGGCTACCAAAGAAATGAGCCAGATGGTTATTGCGTGGGAAATTTTTACAACGGTTTTATGAGTCAAAAGATTAAATTGCCACTTTTCTAGAAGAGAAAAACCGCCTGGAAGACGAATAGTTTCGAGATGCTTTATTTGTGATGAAATTGAGTTATTTCGTGGACATATTCGAGAAATTAAATACCCTGAATCTACAACTCCAAGAAGCAAACACACATTTGTTGGATACCAGTGATAAATTTAGTGCGTTTTGTAGAAAGTTGGAGATATTCAGCAGAAAAAAATAGAAATGTTTGCAAATGCGAATGAGTGTGTCAAAACATACAACGAAGAAGAAAAGTATGTGAAGTCATTTAGCCATGTTGACACAGAACTTTAAATTTCTTTGAATTTTGAGCGGGAGTAGATTATGCTTTTCACCATTGAAAACAAGAGCATTTCATATATTATTGCCATTTTCAACATCCTTCCTTTGCGAAGCCTGATTTTCTGCGGTGGCTGATTTAAAGACAAAATATAGGTTTCGACTGAATATAGACAAATAGTAAGAATTTAAAAGTCAGATGGTAACTTTAAAACTTGATATTTTGTGAAAACTGGACTCACGATTCTGAGACCATCATTTCGATGTTTATTTGTTTGTAATATAAAACCTGCTTTTGAAAAACTTTGGTGTGTTGATTTTAATTTAGTACTGATGAGTTTATTATTAGTTTCATTTGGAATTTGACAGTACCTACTGATACAATCATATTTATAATAATTATTAGTTTAAACATGTACGTACTGTACTTAATTTTGTACAATGTCAGAATGAGTAATATCATTTTGTGTATTTTTCTGTGAATAAATTTTTTTTATTAGTAATTACTTTTTCTTTTTTATTTTGATGTGCTAGGGTAGAGTTATGGCACCACCCTAGAAGGGCGCGCCCCACAGGTTAAGAAACGCTGAATTAACCTTATTAAAGTTATGAAAATAATAAAATTGGTTAACAGCGAGTATATAAAAAGGGGAACTATTTACATGAACTTAAATTTTGGATGTTTAATTCTGTACCATCCGTGAATAAGTGGATAAATCAAATTTTTGTAAAAATGAGATAATTGCATATATCTATAGTTCTCTTCCCATTCTGTCTGCTGAATAAATGGGCAATTCAAATTCGCAATAGTTTACTTCAGAGGACGCCGTGAATATAGATGGATTTCTTAAATTTTTTGGGCCAAAACCGGTAAGTACAGCTATCCCCGGATTTGGAAGAGGTTGATCCAGAATATCAGTAGGTTTTTACTTTTCTTTTTTTACTTTGCTGTTCATAAATAAAAATATTCATACATTTTTGTTCCGTTTATTTGCACTAGAATAACTTAGTAACGCTACAACACACAAATTTGTTAGGTTAGATGTTTTCCAGTAAGTAATATAATTATTTACATTTGTTGGTTGCATAATTAACAACTTATTTCTAAAAAAAAGCAAGTTCACTTAAAATTTGTGTTTTTCGAAAACATCAAAATGTTTAAAATGGTCATACTAAAAAACTTTAATTTTTGACTTACCGACTTATTCACAGATGGTACAGAATTAATGTATAAGTTACGGGTAATATATATTTTTGAAATCAGGAAAATAATTTTTGATAGCATTTCAACAAAATTCAAACTTTAATACATTTTTTTATTGTTAAAGTTTAAAAGTTAAAAAATTATTAATGGCTATAACTTTTTTATTACTTTATATAAATTTTATTAAATTCGGTAAAAGTTTTTGGTGTAATAATATACACCTATATCAGCAAAAGAGGTATTAAGACAGAAGGTAAATGGAAAAACCATTGTCATATTATATATACTCAGACAGTCAAGCGACGTTAAATGCACTTAGTTCCATGCAGGTACACTCAAAGTTTGTGTGGGACTGTTTGGAAGCCCTAACAGAGCTGGGTAGTCAAAAAGACTAACCTTAGCCTGGGTACCAGGCCACAGAGGACATAAGGGCAACGAAGAGGCTGATTTACTAGCCCGAGAAGGAGCTTCAGATGCTCTTATTGGCCCAGAACCCTTCTGTGGTGTAACAAAAACAACTATCAGAACATGCACAAAGTAGTGGATGTTTAAAAAATCTCAGGAGTGGTTGTTCTACTACGAAGGTCTAGCAAGACTGAGATTCCTTACACTTGGAGAAGAAAAACGGCAACCAGCTATACCGGAGAACTACTTCCCAGTCTATGGAATCTACTACAAAAGACCGAATTAGACAAGGTACTCTAAACAACGATTCAAGGATATCCACAATAGATCTGAAAAGGTCGAGTTGGGGGAGGCCACATGGCCCACAGTCCTAATTAAAACTAATCTAATATCAGCAAAAAGAATCAGTTAAATAAACTTCGGCAGTAGAGTACGACACAGGTACGTGTCACCTTCATATGTTCCAAATCTTACAACACTGTTCAAGCATTTTAATTTTTTTGATGTTTTTTTTAAATTTTTTGAACATATTTCATTATTAAATAGTATCCACCTTTGAGTGCAAATATCTCGAAAACTATCACTTTATAAGTTTCCAAAAAGAGTACACGATTTATTTAAAAAACATAAAAAGTTTAAAATTATAGCCCAAATAACTTTTTGGACAGCCCAGCGGCGTAAAATTAAGAAGGAATTAAGGTATTGTTACGGGAAGGTATTGTTACGGGCTAAAAGTATCTTACTGAGCAATATATTTAAAATACTTTCAGTCTTATGCTGATTTTCAATCTCATTTCCATTCAAATAGCAATCTGAAGTTTCATTTTTGATTTTACTTTATCTAGTCTGGAACCCGGAGGTTCTAGACACCGAATTACTTAAAGACATCAAATAAAGCTAGTGGAGGAATCCAATCAGTCCATCTCTTTGAGTTTAAAACAACTGGAGACTCAACTCATGGTTAACAGCCAGAAGACCTGGAAAAACAGCTAATAGTATTTAAATACTAACTTTATTTATACCTAATAATTTTTTTATGCATGTCTTTTCACCCGATTGGTGACGTTCATTACTACCTATTTGCTTTGATTTTATAAAATTTATTGTACCAATTAATCTAATTTTATTAATATTATTTATTCACTATTTATTTCTAGAAATAAACTACATCTTACCGTAGGTTGGTACAGCAATTACTAAACTTAATTCATTGCTTTTCAAGCCTTTAAATCTTCAGATTATCTTCGATTTGTGATTGTCTTTTAAACTATCTAAAATCATTTATATTTATATAAAATAATAATTAATTTATATGTATAATTACTCACCTGTTTATAATCCAGTTGTGCTTATTTAATTGAAACCATAAAATATATATCTATTTTTGTTTTCTTAAAAAAACCCGAATCTGTTTTAAAAGCAACCAAAAACTGTTTTTATTACAATTATAGTCAATGATAATTTTTGAATTTTCAACTTTAACACCCTGTATTTTGGAAATGAGTGGCGTAAAATTAAGAAAGAATTAAGGTATTACAATTATAGTCAATAATAATTTTTGAATGTTCAACTTTAACACCCTGTATTTTGGAAATGAGTAACATTTTACCTAAGCATTTTTCGTTTAATCCTATCAACAATTACTAGGGGCAGATATTTATTCGTGGTCCACCTGGTTAATAAAATGTAAACAAATTTTAAATGTGTAAATGTAACTTTCAATTCTAATCGAATACTGCACCTCAAATAAGATGAAGAAAATTTTTTTTCACCAAAATTCACTAACTGATCAAAATTAATATTGGGTAATTAAGTACTATTATCAATTTAAAATATTTTTATTTTTATAATTTCATGTTTCCTTAAAAAATATAAAATCATTACGTTATAAATTCTTATGTTTCGCACTATCAACAGCTAACTTCTTGAAAAATCCTAAAACATCGCTGGCCAAACCGACTTCTTTCTTTATTATCGGATTTTCGTTGAACTTATTTAAAACAGCCGATTCGTTTTCAAAAATCTGGTCATCTATTTTGGAATAATTATCTACGGTTTTTTCAATGTTTTCAATCTTTTTGGCAAGCTGATCTTCTAAGCCTTTAAATTTATATAATTTAGAAATGGGAATGACATTTTCGTTGTTATCTTCTAAAGTTTTGGACTCGAAAATATTGTGCGTTGGTTGCATGATATTACTCCTATCATCAGGCATCAGAAGACGAGTTGTTACGAGCTGAGTATTTTTTGGTATACTTGAAATTGCTTTTTTTATATCTTTAAAACCTTTTCGAATAACACGTGTGATAGACGGTGATATATTTTCTGTTTCAAATACTTGTTCATCGGATTCGACAACGTTTTCATCAATAGATCTTTTTATCCTAAAATCATCTCTTTCGTCTTCTATGGAATTCAAAAACTTATTAGCTATTCTATTTTTGATATTGATAAAATTATTTTTCCTTATTATTTCTCTTTGGTTTCTTTCTTTTTCTTTATGATCGTTATCAAAATTTATATTAGGCGCAGCCATCCCTAGCGGCACATCACCAAAATCTTCTAATTCATTCTTGAGTTCAGCTTCTTTTTCCAATATAGCTTCAACAGTTTGCTCGAGTTCTTTTGCTGTGTGGTTTTTAGGACAAGAAGTGTTATTGCAAGAGCAGAGTTTATCGACGTCTATTGAAAAATGCACAGCTCCATCGCTTTTTCTTACCATTTGAAGAGGGAGTTTAATGCCATTGCCAATGAAGTAGATATCAGATAGATTTTTGAAAGATATATCAGCATCTTTTTGGGCGGGAATAATTTTTCCTAAAGAATTGGAATCTTCAAATTTTCCACGAGTATCTACATCAGGTGTAGGCATTCCAACTACTGAGTCTCTATCTAGATCAAGTGCTTCCAAAGGATCTTCTTCGGGAAGAGTTTGTCTGCTACTTGCAGGTCTAGAATTGGAGAATGAACGACTATTAGGTACGTTGTCGGGCGCCATTCTTTCAAAGCTATTTTCTAAAGGTTGGCTGCCAACAATTTCCTCATTATTTCGACTTAAAAGGTGAGGCAAGTCGTTGGTATTTTGTTGATTTTGAGAATTGGAAAGATCTTTCACTTTATCTAATGCTGATTGAGATCTAAGGAATGTGTCAGCTGTGGCAGCAATGTTTTTACTTTCGTTTGGAATGTTTTCAAGAGTGGATTGTAATTTGGAATCGTCACTTGTCTTTGATGGACTGGTGTTTGTGTCTGAAATAACGAAAAATTATGTTATTCATTACAATTAATTATTACAACGAGATAATCTACTTTTTCACGAAAATCATGCAAGGTTAGCAAAATGAACAGCTGTTCATAATAGCCAATAGCTGTAACAAAATAGAAGCGCCAAAAACAAAAAGTTTCTCCATTATTAATCGTGGATGATATTAAAAACTTTAGTTAACTTCATAATATGGCGAACCAAGTTTCTAATACCTAAATAAAAGTTATTAATGACAAAAATATTAAAACAGAATAAGGCAGATTTTAAAATAATTTCTAATGCGCTAAAAGAAAATAGATATTCTTGGTACTCCTACGAGAACAAGCAGGACAAGCCAATTAAAGTGACAGCCAATCAACTTCACCATTCCGTAAAAAACAGAAGAAATTGATAATAAAATGAAAAAACGTGGTTAGAAACTCTTCGAAGCCACTCCTAAACTGAAATACAAGATCAAACAACTTCTCAATACGTTCATGCTCTCATTCAGACATGAAAGTGTTGACAAAATACAGGATGATCAACTTATACTCTGGAGTTTGATATTTCCCTTGTTTTGAGGGATACGAACAAAAGTTTTAAATATAAATTATAGATATGGTCCGCTCCACATTTTAAAATTATTTCGTAATATACAGGGTGTTTCATAAAGTCACAGCATACCAAAGTTATGTTTTTTAGTGGAACACCCTATATGTTATCCCGAATTTGAATTTTGCTCATTTTCCCCATTCCGGTAATATAGGGTTTTATTAGGTTCTATAGGGTACTTTTAAAGAAATTGCCACTTTTATGTGAAAATCGTAATGAAATCGTCACCCTGTATTATTTAGAATCAACAATTGAGGATTAATTTCGTAATAGTCTAGTTTTGTTGTAACTTATCATGTTTTTGATATCTTTCATTTTGTATACAGGGTAACCCAAAACTCACGACCGTAATTTTCTCGGTTATTTCAAATGGAAACCCCGTATCTTATATCATTTCCATAAACTACTTACAAAATACTTTTACTTTTGTTAAGCATTCCCTATACCTAAATGTTACAGTCGTAGAGTTATTTCGATTTTTAATAATAAAACGATATTTTTGGCAAAAACTGAATTTTTTTTTTTTTTAGTTGGCCGTGACTGCCGTATTTGACAAAAGATATTAAGTAATGTTGTGTTTGTCAACTAATTGTCAATTAATATTGAGTTTTGATTGGGTTCTTCTTGTTGTTTGTGTATGTTACGGTCAAAGATATTTCGGACTTTAACGATATTGGCCGGTCATTTTCGAAAATTTCCTATTTGATTAAGCATTCTGCCGACGTTAGTGTCCGGTCAATATCGTCAGTGCCCAATTTACAACACTACCCGTATACAATTGGATGAATTTGTCGTTATAATCTGCATACTAGGAGAACGTCATAAAAATAACTTGCTAGCAGTAAGAGTGTATCAAGATAGATTCCCAGAGCGCCGATTACTTGAACAAAGAAACTTCAAGAAAGTCATGGATCGATTTAATCGTACAAGTAATGTAGCATATGAAAAAAAAAGGAAAAACGAAAACCGTTATTACTGAGGAAAATGAACTCAATGTATTACACTGGTAAACACTGTTTTTATCACACGCACTTTGTGATGATTTTTGTTCATATTGGTGTACCCTCTTTAACAATATATAATAATTTTGTTTCAATCATGTCCAATTTTTTTGTGACAGCTACATATTCATTTCTGACCTCATATACGTGTATTTTTTTGAATAACTTCATTTAGACGACTGTGTAACTATTGCATTCAACTAACTTACATCTTATATACGTTTGTTACATCGTAAACATGCCACGAAAGTGTTCTAAGGACCCTGACAGTTTTTGTTATGTGTGTGGAGAATTAACTTGTACATCTCAGCGGCGAAATTTCACATCATTAATTGAACAGTGCTATTTGGATTATTTTGGATTTCCTGTGAGGAATCAAGATAAATCCTGGGTTCCATATAAATGTTGTGTAACGTGTGTGAGACTGCTATTAGGTTGGGCTAAACAAGGACTCAGAAATATGCCATTTGCTATACCAATGATTTGGACCGGACCAAAGGATCATGTAAGTGATTGTTATTTTAGTTTAACTCAAACAAAAGGCATTACAACCTAGTCCAAACACACTAGCCAGTATCCAAATTTGTCTTCAGCCAATAGACCCATCCTACATAGTGCCGAACTGCCTCTATGTCAAAGCCTCCAAATCAATCAGAAAATCAAGATTTTTCTCCGGAACAGGTTCTAAGTCAGCACGATAAAGTATCTAAAGATAGTGACCCAAGTTATGAACCGTCAACTTCAAAAGAACCGCACTTATTGGCACAAAATGATTTAAACGATTTAGTATGTGATTTGAATCTGTCTAAAAAATTGGCCGAGCTTTTGGGGTCTAGATTAAACGACTGGAATTTACTTTCTCCTGATACGAAAATTTCTTATTTTCGACATCGTGACGTTGAAATAAACTTTACTTTTCTAAAGTAGGTGATTTAGTCTATTGTAATAACGTTCCTGTTTTGATGAATTTATTAAATTTTGAATATGATCCAAATCACTGGCGATTGTTCATTGACAACTCAAAAACTAGTTTGAAAGCAGTGTTGCTGCATAACGGAAATAAACTTCCTTCAGTGCCGGTTGCTCATCGTTCTTATATGAAAGAGACGAAAATATGAGATTTTTTGAAAAAATTGAATACAGTAAACACGCTTGGAAAATTTGTGGCGATTATAAAGTCATTACACTTTTGCGTGGAATACATACAGCTTGGTTCGCCAAATTTTGCTGTTTCATTTGCGAATGGGACAGTAGGGACTATACAAAGACTTAATAAATGAACTTATAATGTCATATAAAGCTTTGGGATGTAATATGTCCTTAAAAATACATAAACTGGACTCTTATCTGGATTTCTTTCCGGCAAATTTGGGTGCTGTGAGTGACGAACAAGTCGAGAGGTTCCATCAGGACATTTCCTTATTGAAGAAGCGCTATCAAGGGAAATGGAGTCCAGGAATGCTAGCAGATGATTATTGGAGACTTGTTTGTACTTTTTACGAAAATATGTTTTGATGTCACAAGGAAACCTGAAGTGTCAATTTTTTTTTATTCACATATTAATGTTTGGTGGCCCTAATACATTCAAAATTTGATATAAGTTTTTATGTGACAAAAAAAAGTTAATATTTTGTTAACCAGTGTTATTAGCAGTTACGGATAATCCATATACAAGTATAAGAGTAATTTCCAAGGAACAAGAAATAAGCTATGAAAGTGTGCAAAAAATACTATCAAACAATAAGATGCACCCATATCACATTCAGTTACACCAGGAATTATTGGATGATTACGAAATAATTTTAAAATGTGGAGCTATAATTTGTATTTAAAACTTTTGTTCGTGTCCCTCAAAACAACGGGAATATCAAATTCCGGAGTATAAGTATCTGTTTTTGAGTTATCTTTAAAATTCAAAATTTGCATTTATCCTCAAAGGGCAAGAATAATATCACAAGCAACTTTCATTTGAACAATTTTCTTGAAAATTCGATTTTGGAACTTATTATAAAAATTTTCGAATACGGACCATTTTAGTAAAAATATGTATAAGACAAAAATTATAGAAAATAACATTGCAAGCAACTTTTATTTGAAGAATTTTCTTCTTCAAACGTAAATAACGGTTATATTTGATAAAGTAGAAAAAAAGTTCCCTTATACAGTATCTCCTCAGATGTTCCAAGTATGCCCAAAATCTAATCAACTAGCGTAGGATGGATTAAAGCCTAATTTTAAAATTTTGGTATTTATTTGTTTTTAAGTTATTTTTAAAATTCGAAATTTGCACTTTTCCCAAAATTTCTCGAATACGGACCATTTTAGGAAAATTATTTATAGGACAAAAATTATAGAGTATAAAATCACAAGCAACTTTTATTTCAAGAATTTTCTTCTCTAAGCTTAAATAACAGATATATTCGATGAAGTAGAAAAATATCCCCTATAAAGTACCCCCAGATGTTCCAACTATGCCCAAAAGATTAAATTTAAAATTTGCTGATTTTCTATCTATCCGTTCATTTATCGAGTATATAGACACATACACAGACATCATTGCGAAAATAGTCAAAACGGATTCAAGGGACTCCAAAACATAAAAATCTATCGAAAAAAATATGATTCCTATAATTTCTTTATCTGTATACAGACAGGACTAAAAATATTCCGGAAGACATTAAAACCCATCACAGAAAAAAAAGTAATTGGGACACATTATTATTGGGGCACAATAATTGACCAAGTCTACCGAATAACGAACATTATTGGAAAATCTTTAGAAGAAATAAAAGTTTGCTTTCACTAATTATAGTGAAATACTCTTAACCAATGTTTTTAAATAAAAAGAAATAATGAATTATAGAATTCTAGTAAAAATTAAATGTTAATAAAATAATATTACCTTTATCAAACGTTTTAACGCCATCTACTGGTTTGACCATACCCAAAATATTTTCCTTCGCTTTTTCTAACTGTTGTTTCTGATTTTCCAATCTCTGCATCGTCTGGTCTTGCCTATCCTTCAGTTTCTTCATCAGCTCACTAGCTCTAGCACTAAAGGGATTTTGCTTCGATTGCGAATCATTTTCAATGGAATTAAATGTGTCACTGCTTATGCCTAGATTATTTTTTCCTGAATCTACATTCGGCATAGACACTACAACATTTGTTTTATCTTCATTAGTTTTTTGATGGTTGTCCAGATGCTTGTTATCAATATTTATATCGGAATTCAAACTTTCATAATGTTGTGGGTCTTTTGATCCTACTAAAAATTGGCTACGACTAGTAGGAGTTTCAATTTTATTGTGTTTATCTTTGTCATGGAAGAATAATGAGTTATCATCAGATGAAGACAATTTTATTGCATCTTCATTACTATGACTAGAACCAACTTCTGATGGAACATTTGCATTTCTATCAAACATCTGAGGAACAAATCTTGAATTTGATTTGCTGTTCCTATTCATTGGTTGTCCATGCGGATTTTCAAATTGTTGGAAAGGAAGTAAATGATTGGATTCACTCTCTCTATTATAGAATGTCTGACCGACAGGATTATTATATTGCTGTGAGGCAAATCCAGAATTAAACTGATTATTTCTATCATTAGATTGTCCAACGACACCATTCATTTGCTCTGGATTAAATCGAGAATTTAATTGATCAATATTATTATATTGATGAGGAACCAATCGGTTATTGAACTCGTTAAATGTTTGTCCAACAGGGCTGTCATATTGCTGCGAAGAGAATCTAGAATTTATTGGACTATATAATGATTCTCCATATTGTTGAGGATTAAATCTAGAATTTAATTCATTTTCTCTATTTTTAAAAAGTTGACTGTCATCAGTTGCAAATTGGTCATCAGGTTCACTTGATCTATGATGGTCAAATAAATTATGTGGAATATGATGGTGGGGAATATGATGGTGAGGACTATTATGGTGAATATTATGGTGAATATTATGGTGATGAGGAATATGTTTAATGGGGATATGATGTAGAGGATGATGATGTAGAGAATGAATAATTGGTTCTCCTAATTTGTCTTCATTATTTTTATTAAATTGAGAAAATTGTTTTGCAGCCGATGTCGCTTCCTGTGCTTCTTCTATTTTACTATCTCCTACATGATTGTGGTCTGTAATTTTATTAAATGCATCTGATTGTTTATTAAATAATTCAGAATTCTGATTATGTTGTGCCTGGAGTCTGTTCATGACTTCCTGCGGCTTAAGATCAAAATTTGTATTAGCTATTTTTGCCAGTAACGGTTTTGCAGCTGATGCAGCACCCATTAAAGGTTTCTGTATTTCTTCAGCTCCTTCTTCAAAATCGTTGTGATCGAATATTTTATTTAATTCAGAATTCTGACTGTGTTGTGACTGGAGTCTGTCCATAACTTCTTGCGGTTTTAGATTAAAATTTGTATTTATTTTCGCCGAGAACGGTTTTGCAGCTGATGCAGCACCGACTAAAGGTTTTTGTATTTCTTCAGCTTCTTCCTCTTCTTCTTCAAAATCGTTGTTATCAAATATTTTATTGCCACTGAATGATGTTCCAAGGTTTTGATCTTTTATATCAATAAAGTCTTTGGAATTTAATGGTTCGTAGTTTTTTCTTGATGCAGGATTTCCAGATTGGCTATTAATTTGCTGTAAAAATATATCTAATGTTAATTATACATAAATTTACGAATATTTTTAAAAACAAGTAATTATAGAATTTAACAAGAAGAATACTTTAATAATAGGTGTCTTCTTTATAACAATCTGAATATGAGACGTCTCTCATGATTTATTTTTGACGTGCTTTAGCTTGTTGAATAAAAGAATGAAATTATAAGAAATACTTATTTTAACCAAAAATAGCATTTGTTGCAAGTGAGTTTTCAAATAAATTGTTTAACTGTTCCTTCCAAAAAAACAAATTCCTGTAAAAAAAGTTTAAATAAAGCACGAAGAAAGATATTATCACGCTTCGTATAATTTCACATATTTTTCAAATACTGGGGGAGTCATCGCCTATGTGAATCAGATGTTACAAATTTTAGATATTAAAAAAGTAATTTTAGATAGGACTTATTGATTAATTTCAGTAAAAGTCTTACATAATAACAAACAGTTTATGATGGTATGCCTTTATAGATCTCCTAGTACTGGAATTAATTTGTTTCTAGACTTTTTTGAAGAATGGTGTGAAATTAATTTAACTGATACTAAGAAGTTATTTTGGTTGGGGATTTAAATATTTATTGGTATAGTAATTCAACTTATTCAAAAAATATTGTTACTGATACAGGTTTTAAGAATGTGGTAAAAGAATTTACACATGCAAATACTCATGGAGGACCATTAATTGATTTAATTTTACAAACTCAGACATTACAACTGAAGTAATAGACACACACCAAAAATCAGTAGTCACAGAAATATTATTGCAAAACTAAACAAACAAAAAACAGAAAAGGGAAACGATAGTTATTGAAATTAGAGGTAGGTTTATTGATTATACAATAAGTAATAATAATCTAAAAGATTTTACATGGAATTATTGGTTACATGATATTAATAAAAAATACAGAGATTTTTTAAATAAAATTTTGAAAGTTGTCAATGAAGTGGTACCAAAAAAACAAGTTAAAATTTGTTGAAAAAATGTACACAAAATTCAGTGTTTTTTAAAAGTGTACAAGCTTTTAATAATTTGTCTGAAGATATTAAATGTTCTTCAAACGCAGCAATTTTTAAAAGAAAACTGCGTGAGTACTTGTTGACCAATTGACTTTTTTTTCTCTTTCTTGTTCTTTTATTATGTTTTGTATAGTTGACATGTACGTGTACTGTATATTATGTATTTTTTATTGTATTTTAAATGTATGTTGATTCTATACTTATGTATTTTTTATATTTTAAATGTGAAGATGTTTTTTGACTAAATAAACGATTTTATATATATCATTATATTCGTTTTGAGAACACTGTGTTTCCTTCGTCCCTTTTTATATAGACGTGTGTTAGGTTCTAATATCAAGAGTAGAATCCTTATACAGTTAAGGGCTACGAAGTCAAGTTTTAGTATTTTAGTGCTATTTAGACCCTTATCGCCTAACCTCCTGGAACATAGCTGGTCCCTAATTATTAAAGAACACGTAAATCGTGACATTTTTATTTAAAACACGGTCATCGTGATAATATTATCATTTTTAACAATAATGGGAAATTCATTAATGTTTTGGTTTATATTATCCTATCAATTAAAAGTCTTTTAATAAAATTTTCATTTTTTTAAATTTCTACAAGTAGTTTTATTTATAATTTTTAGATAACAGTTTTTTCATTATATTCCATAATTTAATAGAATTATTTTTATTTTCCATAATTTGATAGTCAATAATAATTTATCCTTTCTTTTATAATAATTTTTACAGCCATATTACGTTTTTGTTTATATAATTCTTTATTTTGTTTGAAACATAATTTTTATAAGCCTTAGCCCTATCTTTAGTTGCAGTGTGCACACTATGTCATTCCACCAAACTCTAAATTTTGTAAAAATCTTAATAGTTCTCTTTGGTGCCACCTCATTTAAAACCCTCATTACTTTTTCATAAAAATCCTTATATTTGTCAGTGATAGTCTTATAGCCACAATTTTGATCTTTCATTATAGAATAAACTTGTTGAATAGCATGTTTAAAAAGTTTTTTCTATAAAATTCCGTCTACTGACTTTGAATGAAAACTATTGTTTACTGCAATTTGTTTAATATTTAATTTAATCATTTGTCATGAAGAATTTTTAATTTTAATTTTTATAAATAAAAGTGTTTGTGACAACCTATCCAAGTTTGGTTTTTCTCATTTAATTAATGACATAAATTACCTGTTCTTCTGCAGGACTCTGCAACAAACCAGAATTCGTCCGAATTCGCTGATCTCCCATCTGTGCCATATCCGGAGTATCTTCAATGATATCAGGATTCATCAGACTTTGATGGAGTAGTTTTTCTATAGATTCTGCATCTTTAAGTCTCGAAGCAACTCCTGGATTATCATTTGGTGAACCAACAGCAGGAGAATCATCGTTAGCCGAAGCAGTTGGTGAACCGTCATCGGGTGAATAGGAACGTAACTAAAAGTGGAAATTATATCTACATTAAAATAGGACCACAATGGGTCTCAAAAAGAGAATGGCGGTGATACATGGCGTTACCAGATACTGGTGCGCAGCCAAATAAGATTACCTAAGAGTTGGTTGGTAAATTAGAGTTAGGTCAAGAGGGTGTAGAGGTATCGATTGTTGTTCAAAATGTATAGCAAGATTTGAAGCAGTTAAAAGGGGGTAATAGTAATACTATTTCTTGTTTGGTAGTTTCAAAAATAGCAAGGCACTGTAAAGAATTATTTTGTTAAAATGGCGTAGAAATGGATGTACCAATATTTAGTTAATTAGAATTGTTTTTGTGTAGAAATACTTATATCACTTTGTATTTTGAATCTGTGAGATTGGATGATAATATACACACTAGGTTTGTTTTGATTCTTCTAATTATCACTAACCTTATTTAATAATTCTTCTACCAGTTCATGTAGTTTCTCATGATTCGAATTTTTTTCTTCGTCTATTGGAAATTTTTTACTAAAAGCGCATATATCCTTTAATTTTTCGGCCAATTTTTCATCTCTTAATGAATTTTCTTCGTTATTTAAAACTATTGGTTTGCCTTCTTTGGTTTTTACTAAAAAATATCTTTATTTAATAATAACCAGATTTATAAATCATTATTAATGAAATTTTAAAACTATTTGAAAATTATAATTGAAAAAATACCTAATTATACAGGGTGTACCATTAGCGTGACCAGATGTCCCGCTTCGGGCGTAATTGTCCCGCTTTTTCACTTGTTGGCGCGCGTCCCGACAAAGTACAAAAATGCCCCGCTTTTTACCGAAATATAAATATAGAAATTTTGGAAGAGACAAGACCTTTTTTTATGAGAAGCTCCTCAGAAAAATATAAGCAAAGGACTTTTTTTTGAGAAGCTCCTCATAAAAATATAAGCGAAAGACCTTTTCTTTTAAATCTCCACAAAAAAAGGACCTGATTTTATAAAAATACCAATTTTTTTTAACCTGATCCCTCTATGCATCATTGAGACAAACATTTATTTCTCAAGTCATAATCAACGAATCACCTGGTATATATATTTTTTACTTTTAGAACACATACATGTTTAAACTAACAGAGAGGCTAACGTGGAGATTAAGAAAAACAATTTTAAAAGTATTTAACCCTAGTCAAATGTTGAGCAGTCATATAGGACCTTTTGCTCGACAGTTTATTCTTCTTGTTCACATCTCCAAATTTATCACAGTTGTTACAAGTATTTTAACACTCACTTGATATAGTCATATTCTGCACATTTGTAGTATCATGAATCCCCAACAAGCTAAGCACAATTTCAAGTAAATCGCCACGATTTAGGATAATAATATGAGTACTATCTTTTATTTTCTCCTCGTCATTATTGAAACTTCCCCGATTCGCTAGAGACACCATCTCATCTTTCGGTTGTTCATCTTCACTAAGTTTTCCTTTCGTATCGCCATCCGCGTCTGTTTCTGAACAAAGTTTTGATGTTGACGAACACCATTTTTTGCAAAGAGGGCACTCGCTTATGCTAGCGCAGTTGTTTCTCATTAGACAAGTTTTGCAAAACGTTTTATAGAGTTTGTGGTTTTTGTTGTCGTCGTTATTTGAGTTGAGAGATGAGCCAAGTAATGGTGAACCTAGTCTGGAAAACAAACAAAAAATTGTGATAAGTAGACTAGTAAATAGAACTGCAAACTCAATAACAATAATTAAAAAGTATAAGAATAAAAGTATTTTACTTTTTGGAAACCATGTTCAAAATTATGCAACCACTCAATAATTTGGGTAATTTTGTCTGTCTTAAAAAAAAACCTATAAAATAGGTCGATGAAAATTGGACCATCCACGACTGGAAGAAAATCATATTCTCTGATGAAACAAGAATATTTATTAAGGAATAACAGTTAATATTTAAAACGAAACAAATAAAATATCTTATTCCATGTTTATTAAAAAAAAAAAAAAAATCGCTCGTACACATCATTAGATTTGTCAAGGGGGAGGTTTTTGTTACCATTTTTAATATTGCAACTTTAACTTTCTAGGGGGGGTGGGACCAAGTGGTTGAATGATACCTCCTTTGAAAGAGCATTTATGGAAAAAAAGATAAAAACATTATTTAGCGTAATTTTTCATACACACGTACAGGTCAGGATTTAGATTTTTTTATTTCGGTATCTTTTTGTATCTCTTGGAAAAAATCATTTAAAAAACATTTATAAACCGTTAAAAAGCATACTTAGGATTACTCTTGTATATTTTTACAGAACACTAAGGAGCTGTGTTCCTAGCAAAATTAAGAATGTTTGCATTTTACATACTAACCTATATTTAGGACATCTTTTTTCTTTTACAGCAAATGGATTCTCTGGCAATTCAGAGTCGTTAACTTCTGATAAAAGTGGCGAGTTAAGTTCTTTTTCGATAATTTCTTGAAACTCTTCATTTTCTTTTGGGAGTTCTAACCTGAAATATACAAAACAGACCACCGATAAGTATCCAGTTGCGCTTCATAAATTTGGTCATTTGCTTTTTACTACAACTCTGAAATAAAAATCAGTTGTCTATTAAAATAGTAGTTTGTCCAACAAGAGTGAATATGATGGCCGCACGAAGACGAAATTTGAGCACGACGCCGTAGGCGGAGTGCTTAATCGTCTGAGTGCGAAGTGGAGAATCCACTCGAGTTGTACAGTATATTTTTTCTACGACCCACTAACGAAAATTTACAAATAAAAAAAATATTTTAGTATATTAAGACAAAATAACTAATTTTAAAATAATTTATGACTTTTAATAATTTTTAAAATAAAATAAACGAAAAAAAAAAAAAAAGAAAAAAGTTCATTTCATTTTTCCTTATCCAAGAATCGAACTCGAGCCTTCCGTTCGCTAACCACAGGACCCCATCTATTCTTTTATTTTCGTTACTTTAATACTCGCAATTAAATTGACTTCTTTCAGTTTTATTTAAATTAACAAATTATTTATAATTATGGACGAAATAAAAACAGAAATGCTTTTATTTATCGATTCTACACAAGAATAACCCATTTTAATATAAGTTTAATCTCAATAACTAAAAAATATACTGACAATTAGTTTGACAGAATTATCACTTATCTAATATTTTAAAAATAATAGCAGTCGGTTGATCAAAATATGAACGGCGATTGGTGGATTTCATGTTTTTGCAGTGATCTTACTACCTAGAATAGATATGAAATATATTCGTTCAGTTGAACGCAATGGCATACTTTTTCGTTCTGTAATCTGTGCGTAGATAAGCTAATATCCATATGGGTGTAGAAAAAAGTAATATAAATACCAGTATTTTAAAATAATGTCCTAGCATTAAATTCAAAATGAATAAACAAGCTATTCTGCGTGTAAATTCAGGCCTATTAAGTTGGAATACAATACAGAAAAATTTAAATAGCCTAATTTATTACGAAAATAAAAAAAACTCTAGCCTTTTTCGAAAAAAAAAAAAAAAAAAAAAACTAGTCCAACTTAAAAGTAGTAATAGAGGTGACGTAAAAATCATAGATGATATCTCAGAGCCACCGTGACCAATAACTTTAGATGAGTTCTTTAAATAATTTACTATATTTTTCTGCTGTATCCTACTTTGGAAAATTTAAGCTGGAATGCAGCTTTTTTCTCGAAAATTAAAAAATTAAACATTTTTTTATTTGCATATTAGGTAGCACCAGAAAAAACAAAACAACTTTGATATACAAGGTGTTTCATTGAGAAACAAATAAATACATGGAAGTTACCGAAGTGATTCTAATTATTATAACTAATATACACCAGTAGCTGTGCTAGAATTATTGGCAAAAAGGAGTATTTTCTTCCCCTTTTTTTTATTTCTGTAGAAATGAAATAATGAGATAAATCAAAATGTTTTGAATATCTCTCTGAGATTATAGCAAACAGTATATAAACAAAATTTTGGTACAAGGTGTTTTGAAATTGCGACAAAAAACATTTATAATTATAATATCGCCTAAACGAAAAATGTTATTTATTACAATAATTTAAAAAAAATCACAATAAATTTATCTACAAACTGGTAGAAAATTAATAAATATAGGATAAAACATAAAAAGTTAAAAAGCATCAAACTTGGTCAAAATTTTAGGGTGGCTAAATTTCATAATTTCAGTAATTCATTCCCGACAGTCGAACATAAAAATATCGCCTAATAGTGAATACCAAGAATTCGAATGATAAAAAAGGTTATTTTTGTTAAGAGACTATACAACACATGTAAGCCTATATAAACAGATACATTACAATTTCAAGTAAAATCCATCCGGCAACGTCGCAAATATATAAATGGTGGGCTATAGAAATTTGTGACTTCCTCATACTAATTAGGCATTCCAATGACATGTCCAAATGGCTACCAGTGAGTAATGACAGTTTAGATATGGCAACCCTGTTGTCATGTTGTCATTAACAGGGTCAAAGATACATATATAGTTATATAGATTGCTCAAAGCTGGTCGTTTACGAGCGGCCATATTGCCTGGCAAATATTTATTAATTTGAATCGGTTTAGCAAAAATGTGTTTTAAAACCAATTTTTGGCCTTTAGATATTTAAAAAAAAATAATTGCTTACATTTTTACTTCAAGGCATAAGCTTATGTTGATTTTGAAAAATATGGATGATCAATCTATGTAACTATCTATTTCATTGACCTTGTCAAATCACCAGGCCTACAGGGTTGCCATAATTTTGACATATCATAACCCGTCAGAACCCACTGGTAGCCATTCAGTTTGGAATGCCTAATTTTAAGGGTTTGTTTTGGTTCAAACAGAACTGTCAATTCTCAAATTCAGTGAACGAATTAATTTTTCAAGAACACGTCGCGAGATTATAACAACCTCTTGGCTGATCGAGTGTAATTCAATTATCGCGCGTTAAGTGTAGCGATTACAATGTTGCCAAGTTGTAATCATTGTACGCAACTACGCGTTGACTGCTTTAAAAATATTTTTATTTTATAAATATATGTCTTTTTACCAAGACGGTCAAAAGAGACAGCATTTTTTCAGAAAATTTTACATTACATTAGTTTTTAAAAAATATAGTAAGAAACGTTATTCAGATATCTTGAAATAAACACATTGCTTGTGTACATGACAGGCTTCAAGAGAGTTAATTATGCACATTTTGATTGTTAATATCATAGACGGTCAAAAAATTTCATTTTTTTTAGTTACGTAAAAGACACTTTCATTAACCTTATATTTCAATTTTATTGAATTCTTAAGAAAAGCCGTTTTACGAGTTCACAATATATTTAATTTTGTAAATTAATAACTTTTCAGCCTATTTAGGTCACATTCAATCGAAAATTGATATAGCAAAAAACACCATACGAAAATTTTAAATAAGAAGGGTCGTGTGAAACTTTGTTTGAAAGAGAATCATAATTAAGCAAAATAATTTTCAAAATGTAAAACTATAATAATGTATCAATCACAAAACTTTACGTAGAATGAAACAGAATGTTACATAATATTTAGAGTGTATTTTTCAATATATTTTACAATTAATTATTTGCTTCATTTTACGCAATATCAAAATTTTACATTTTCAAAATTAATTTTCTCAGTTATGATTGCACTAAATTTACAAAATTAAATTAAAATCCCGTTTTCAAACAAGGTGCCACATGACCCCCTTTCTTATTTTGGATGGGGTGCAAACGGGGGTAATATTTTCTTACTAAAAATTGTCAATTAAAAAAAAATATGAATCGACCTACTTTAATCTTTTCCTAAAAGTACACGCTAAAAATTATATGATTCCATACATATGAACCACACAGTATACAGTGTTAATTTATAGATTAGGCAAAAGAAAAATGAGATGCTTCATTATATGTGAACGTGAGAGCGATAAAGAGAGTAATTAGTTCTTTCAATGGCAAGCATATGATATTACGATCCGCGCTCGGCATATTATTTTATTTATCTCTATTCAATAGCATTGTGTTTCTATATCGTTCTTATAGAGTCAGGATTGGAAAATTCACATATATACGTAAGGCAAACATATGACAAACTGTTATATTAATAGTTTTAGGAAAAAAAATAATCTTCATAAAAATAAAAATGTAATGGTCTAAAACCTAAAACACAACCATCAGATGTAAAAAAATTTGAGGCGAATACGAGGTATGTCAAAAAATATAAATTTTGCTCAATAGTAAAGTACCTTTATTTCTGACAAACCTCGTATAAGACTGATAAAATTTGGTATCAGATGATTGAATTTTAGGTTTCAAGTCATGTTGATTTTTTTATAAAGAATAACTTTTCCCCTAAAATTAATAATAAAAAAGTCTGGAACTTCTTTAAATAAAATAATTTGAAAATTTAACACTCTGAGTATAAGCAGTGTCGGATTGTGACCTCCAGGGCCTACCTAATTTTTTCCTTAAAAAGCAAAAAAGACCCGACATTGGTTATAAGAATTCAAAATAAAAAGTTGTAGGTACATAGAGTACATAAATATGCTTAATTTCATACGTGTGACGCGAATTTGTAAATACCCTGAATCTTTAAAAATAAATAGGTATTTAAACAGTAAGAGTCTACAAATATTCAAAATTTTAAAGAAGTTGTTTAAAAAAGTTTGATTTTAGATATTTTGTAGCATTATTAGAGATTAAACTTTTAAAAAAACTTACCCTTCATTGCCAATAACTGCTTCTTCACAATGAAATTCGACAACGATAATTACCAGCAACAAAATCACTTGTTTTTGAATCTCCATTTTCTAAACTTTTACTTTTGCATTTTCAAAATAAAACTGTGTAAGTCAGATTTCTCTGACAAAAAATCCTGTACTAATTTTTTTTGCATAAACTACCGCATATTTGCATAAATTTTTACTGGGTCAATTGTTTGTCCATTCAGCAGATAACGCAATATTATAAACAAATTCTAAGTATTTGTTTAGATTAGTTATTGTTTAGAATTGTTTAATTTGTGGTCAGGTGTTGATTAAATAAAATGTTTTGTAATGTAATTAAAACTTTGTTGCTTTACAAGAATATTTGTTGATTGGAAAACATACAGGGAGAATCCAAATTAATGAAAAATTGAAAAAAAATTTATTTATCCAGTATCGGCTTCTTCAGAGCGGTCAAATTGGCAGAGTATAAAAATCGCTATCTACACTCTACTGAACAAAGAAAACTATTCGATTTCTGGAATCAGTGAGGTATATATTATAGAAATCTACTAAACATGGTTTTTAAAAAATCTGATGTGTCCAACACATGACTTTCCTATCTAGTTATTATAGGCTTTTTCCGGTTATTTTGTACAACCTATTGCAACATCTCTATAAATATTTAGAGGATAAACTAAATATATACATTGTCCACATACATCTACCTAGAAACATTTTTCTATAGATATTCATTGAAAACGAAAATACGGAAAAATATATATTTCCTACAATTTTTCATTTCGGTCCATTTTAGAAAAATCATGTATAAACAAAAATTATAGAGATCGACATCGCAAACAACTTTTATTTTTTTCATAAAAATGAGAATTTTGCACATTTTGTCAAATTTCTCGAATACGGACCATTTCAGGAAATTTTGACATAAAACAAAAAATATAGATAATAATATTAGAAGTAACTTTTATTTGAACAATTTTCTTCTCCAAACATAAATAACAGATATATTCCATAAAATATAAAAGATAAAGTACCCCCCCCCCCCCCCAGATGTTCCGACTTTGTCCAAAATCTAATCATTTCACGTCAGGCCGAAATAAAACTTAAGTTTAAAATTTAATATTTTTTTCTTTATCCGTTTTTGAGTTTTCTTCAAAATTCGAAATTTACACATTTTCTCAAATATCTCGAATACGGTCCATTTTAGAGAAATTATGTATAGGACAAAAATTATAGATAATAATATAAGAAGTAACTTTTATTTAAAGAATTTTCTTCCCCAAACGTAAATAACATATATATTCCATAAAATATAAAAATGACCACCTATAAAGTACCCCCCCAGATGTTCCGACTCTGCCCAAAATCTAATCAGCTCATTGGACGCTGGAACAAAGCTTAAGTTTAAAATTTGGTGTTTTTCTGTGTATCGGTTCATGAGTTATGCGACACACAGACATCATCGCGAAAATGAGCAAAACGGATTCAGGGGACCTCAAAACGTAAAAATCCTTCGAAAACTGGAGGTCGAAAAAAATCATGATTCCTATACTTTCCTTATATCTGTATACATATAGGAAAGTAAAAATATAAATGACTTCAGCTATCTTCGTTAAACTAAATCATCAATCATTTATACAAACAAATTCGAGCAAATTCTTAGGTCTAATTCTGGACAGAAAGTAAACGTGGGAGAATCATGTAGATCATGTATCAAATAAACTAAGTAGTGTGTTTTCTAATGAGACAGTTAAAAAACACTGTAAATCCCGATATTTTAAAATTAACATATTTTGGTTTGGTTGAATCAATTATCTCATACGGTCTAATTTTTTGGGGCTGCTCAGCTTATCTGGAGCAAGCCTTCTGTGTTCAAAAAAAAGTTATAAGATGCATAGCTGGGGCTTCAAGAACAACTGCAAACAACTTTTTCATGACTTTAAAATCCTAACACTTCCATCTTTGTATATATATACACTAATACTTAATATAAAAAAATACATGTGGCACTCGGAGACTGCCGCGATAAAACTATTGCATAGCATTTTTTATCAACTTATGCAATTATAATTATTTATTTATGCAGTGTTTTTTTTTCTTTGATATTAATTCAAGTTTTTTCTTTGATATTAATTCAAGTTACACTTTTTGAGCGTGGTGACCGATAAGAAAACAATTTTTTTTCTTTTATTAAATAAATGAGAAGTTAATATTGTTTAAAATATTTTTATTATCTTACAATACATGTAGGTTATTCAGGAATTTTTATCATTGAAACTATAGGTTTATTTATTTATTTATTTATTTATACATTGTTCAACAGGTTAAACCCAATTACAGAACAGGAGTACATTTGAAAGAAAACAGTTTAACAAAAAGCATATAGATAATTAATCTAAAATTACAGTAAATAAATTCTAAATTATTTTAAACAATGTGTTTTTATGTTTTTAACACTGCAATTAAATATATCCAACTGTTCACTAATATTATTATAATTATTACACATGTTATATACAGGTGAAAACTTTAACTTTATGGTAACTGAAATAAGAAACATAAGTTTGAGACTGATTACTCTTGATATCCTCTAAATATCTGGAAAATACCGCGTCAATGGTGGTCCCATATTTTGTTGTGGATTCTTGTGGATTATTATTCATTTTCAAATTCAATTTTTCCGAAATTGTGTCTAAAAGAAATAGAATCAGTTATGAGCAGTTAGCAGCTAGTCTACACGCATATGTCTAGTCGCACGCACACAAACACCGTACCAAAGTCTGCCGAACTGAAACGACGTTAGACAATGCACGGCTTTCAACGCCGCACCGTTGTGCCGGTCGGAGTGGGGGTGTGAGGTTTATTTTCGTTACGGAATTTCTTTTTCGATTTTCTTTTATTGAATAAATGAGAAGTTTATTGTTTAACGCCGCACCGCTGTGCCGGTCGGAGTGGGGGGTGTTAGGTTTTTTTCGTTACGCTACGGAATTTCTTGATTCAGTCGCCGCGCTCAAAGCCCGCGATAAAAGCTATGCAATAGATTAAAAATAGGAATCCCCATTATCAGATTATAGACACTCACACAATTATAACACACGCAATTACAAATGTCTACAGCAGTCTTTCTCTAGACTCTCAGTTGGACAGAATTCCGAAATCTACAGAGGTGTTGCATGTTTTAATAGATATACTCAAGTCAATGGTAATTAAAAAATCTTTAATGTATTCAAAAATAAGCTTTATGCATATCTTTTGTCCAAAACATATTATTCCTATGCAGAATTTATGAATGAAACTCGGTGGTCTGTAATGGTATCTCCTTATTATAATTATTAATGTCTTTGCTCTATTGTATACTATTTTTAATTTATACTTTATTTTAAACTCAATTGTAGATTGTCTCTACTTTTTAAAATTGTATGTGTTGACAAGGCTAATAGGATGTTTATACATTTTTTAGCCTTTTTAAAATATTGTAAATATGTATGTCACAAAGCTGAATAAATATTATTATTACTATTTCATGACTAAAATAACATATAAACATAGGTCCCACACACTTCAATACTGATCTATAAGGTGTTTTTGTTTATAGCTCCTGCAGTTTTTGATATATTTAGTTCAAATTTGAAATCTAGGTTGTGTTGTAAGGCTTACATCCTTGAGCATGCCGAATAGTTGTGAAAATGTACAGATTGATTTTTTTCAGGGGTTTTGTCCCCTTTTCTATTCATAAACCTTTTTTGTGGTGCGCCACTGGTACATTCTAAAATACCAATTAATTTGTTTTGTTTAGGCACTTTTTGGACTCTTGTATTTTTTTTTGTATCAGAGACTGTGGCCGTTAATTAGAAACTGTAAACACAGTTCAATTATTTGTTGGCACTGATTTGGGAAGCATAGCGTCCCTTCTTTCCAAGCATAAGCTTTATGAGGTTCCCTAGGAATCCAAAGGGTTGTTTCCTTTATGAGTGTTTCCAATTTTGGATTTTTTTAAATTTTTCTTTTAAATGTAATTTTTATGAAATCTAAAAAAGTTGTAATCTTTAAGTCTTTATTTATATCTATTGTAGATAAGCACTGAAGATGGCATAATGCCAAAAATGCTTTGCATTTTTTAAATAAAAAAATTTTGCATGTTTCCTTTGCAGAGTTTAATTTTATCTCATACGATTTTCATGATTACTTTGACAGTGTTACCAGAGTTACTGATTTAGAACATGAATTTGAATACAGACAAAAAATTAATAGGTCCTTGTACAAAAGTTTTTCTCTAGAGACAGAGAATATATAGAATGAAACGATAAAAATTAAATAAAATAGTTTTAATAGGAAAATCGATTTGACTAATACCTACATGACATTACAAACAATTGAGAGGTTATATTTATATACATATGAATTATGAATGAATTTTTAAATGTTTTTTAAGTTGTGAGTTTTGCGTAAATTGCTTAAAACAAATATCACATTTATATGGATTTTCAATGTCATGAATTCTCATGTGGCATTTTAATCTTGAATACTGTGGAAAAGCTTTAAAACAAATGTCACATTTAAATGGTAGATCACCAGTATGCACTTTTAAATGATAATCTAAGTTACTTTTCTGATTAAATTTTTTACAACAAATTACACACTCATATGGTCTTTCTCCAGAGTGAATTCTTAAATGTCTTACTAAACTAGAGTTCTCTGTAAATTGTTTGGGACAAATATCGCATTTAAATGGTTTTTCATCAGCGTGTATTCTCATATGATAAGTGAGTCTTGAATAATTGCAAAAAGTGGCAGAACAAATTTCGCACTTGAACGGATTGTCACCAGTGTGACTTTTAACATGGCGATTTAAACTGGCTTTTTGGCTAAAATTTTTTGAACAAAATTCGCATTGATACGGTTTTTCACCGAAGTGAGTTCTTAAATGAATGTCTAATTTTGTTTTTTGGACAAATTGTTTTAAACAAATATCACACTGAAATTGTTTCTTATAACTGTGAATTTTCATGTGATCTTTTAAATATGCAGTTTTCTTAAAACCCTTAGAACAAATGTCGCACTTCAATTGCTTTTCTCCATTATGAATTTTTAAATGATGGGATAAATTTGACTCATTATCAAATTCTTTAGAACACACCTCACATGTGTATGCATCATGTGATTTTAAATGCTTCTTTTTTACCCCATAGAAGGCAAAATCTGTAAGAAAATAAAACAAATTGTTGTAAAGTAATGTAAAACAGAAATAAATGATTCAAATGCTCTTTTTCTCTTCACATTTGCCACAATTTTTGTTTTCTATTTTGATTGTAACGTGGCTACATCCTAAGGTTAATATTTAAATATTCATAGCCCCTAAGTTTATTGTTTTACTTACTATTTTGGCAAATTAGACCAGAGTACTTCTTTATAACATTCTTTGAATTTTCTTCCTTAACTTGCTGTAATAATTCTGGAGATTCCTCATCACTAAAAGGCTGATCGAATTCGCTCTTTAAAGTTGGTATATCACAATATTCTGGCACATCACAATCTATAAATTCCTGTTTTACAATATTTAAATCGGTACTAGTCTTAAATAAATCTTTTTTTACATCGACTACGTTTAGATCACTGGTTTCAACCTTTTGATTGTTGATTTCACTATGTTCTTCTTTAATTACTGACAGAATCTGATGATTTTCAAATTCGTTAAAAAACTCTGTTTTAACTTGAATTAGAGGTAAATTTAGTTTATACTCTTTTTTAATTTCAACAGTGTATTCAGGTGATGAAATTGAAGGTTTCACTTCCATTACATTTGTCTTATTATTAAAAAATTTAAAATTTTCTTAATTATTATATTACAAACTTTTGTAAACAGAGAAATTGAATTATTTCTATACTATTTTGATTTTTTAAATGTTTTGTTTATTATCAAATGTCAACGATGACACAATTGACATTACCAGAATATTTAACATTACACCGACTTGGTTCTGGTCAGTTCTGGTTAGTTAAATGAAAGTTAAATCGTTGCCTGAAGACTCTGAAGTCGTTTACCTTGTGTGTATGAGTGAGATACCATTATATATTTATAGTTAAGATTTGATCAACTTAACGTACATAGTTTTAAAAAAAGATTTGCAAATGTAAAAAAGATAGGGCCGTCTTAAATAAATTTGATATAATTTGTGACGAGTGCGTGTAAAAAATATTTGAATTTTGAAACTGAAATATTAGTTTTTACCTTAGTTATTTAAAAATATAACGTTTGTCAAGCGAAATATATTTAAAATCCACAACGTTAGAGATGTAAAATGTTTTTATTTTCTCAAAAAAACTATTCCGATTTGTTATAAAGTTTTTTTTATTCTATAAAAATATGTATAGTTTTTAACAAAATAATTTAGTGTGTAGTTTTTTTATATATATAATAGTGCCTTGTTTTTGTTGATAAGTTTAAAAAATATGGCTAATATGTGAAAATACATGTTTTGTGTTATATTAATTAATTTGAATTTATTTTAAAATGGGTTTTGGTAGGTTTTACGCTTTATTGGCATTTCACTTTTAACAGCGGGTTATTATAGTACCATTATTAAAAAAATACATAAAGAGCGAATAAAAATATGAAGCCATTTATTATTATTTTTACATCGGTATTGTCACGACTATCTTTATTTATGAAATAAAAAACTTATTAAAAACAATAAAACAACTTTATTTCAGACATAAATATACAAACAGATTCTTACCAAAACATACCATTTTGATTGGCTCATGACATCTGCTTTTAGTGTTATCTGTTGACAACTTTTGTAGGACAATAAACAGTGACAATTTTATATCTGAAGCGGTTAGAAGCAAAAGGGTTCAAGTGATATTTCATTTTAAAATGAGTTAAGTGCACTTAAATCGTTTTGCCTAGAACAAACTACGCTTTTTCAATAACATGCTTTTTCTACCAGCTGATAGAGGTCGTTTAGATATCAAAAATCACTTTTATCGTTTTACCACCAATAAAATAATAGTTTTAAATAACAAAATAAGTACCTAACTCATTAAAAAAAATGTCACTTGAACCCTTTTGCTTTTAACCCCTTCATATGCCTTTACAATCTTAAATAAATCAAGCTTTATTCCCGAAATTTGCTTCCGTCTATGCTAATAAAACCTTACTTATGAAATTGACTGCTAAACATTCTTATTACTAATATTTTGGCACACTAAACAGTTCAGGGTTCAAATTATTCTCGAAAATCTCAAAAAAAAACACAATAAAGCTTAAGCTGTCACTTGACGTCGTCAATGAAATTTTAGGATACCAAACTTAAACGTTGTTTACGATAATATAAATCAACATGGTTTCATGAAAAGTCGTTCAACAGTCACCAACCTCCTTACCGTTACCCAATATATTGCTGAATATATTGATAACAGAGCCCAAACTGATGTTATTTACACAGACTTTTCTAAGGCCTTCGACAGACTTGATCATGGCATTCTGCTTAACAAACTTGTAGCTTTTGGATTATCTCCTTCTTTAATTTCACTATTTCAATCCTATCTATGGGATCGAAAGCAATATGTCCAGCTTAATGGTTTTAGGTCTGCTGAATATAGTGCTTCTTCTGGTGTTCCACAAGGGTCGAATCTAGGACCCATCCTTTTTATTATGTTCATTAATGATATTGCAGATGTTATAAATGTAAATTTGCTTTTGTATGCTGATGATCTAAAACTATACTGCCTCGTAGAGAAGATAGGTGATTGCGAGAACCTTTCAGCAAACCTAACACGGATTGTTGAATGGTGTTATCAAAATAACTTGTCACTAAACCCAGATAAATGTAAAGTTATGTCGTACAGTTTAAAAACGAATATCCTAATATTTAATTATTCAATAGAAAACGTTGCTCTTGAGCGACCGAAAACATTTACTGATCTTGGCGTCACGTTTGACACTGCACTATCATTTAATAAGCATATTGATAATGTTGTATCCTCCTCCTATCGAATGTACGGATTAATTGCACGTAGCAGTAGTGATTTCAAAGAAACCTCTACCTTAAAAACTCTATTTTATGCTTTTATAAGATCAAAGTTAGAATATGCTTCAGTTGTGTGGAGCCCCTTTTATCAGTATCATATAGATCGAATAGAAGCAATTCAAAGACGATTTTTAAAACTGCTAAGCCTGAAAACTGATGGCATTTATCCTCTAATAGGTACACCTCACTCTGAATTACTACAAAAGCATAACTTTTTCAGTCTCGATAGAAGGCGTGATTATTATAGTGTAGTAGTAACTTATAAAATTATTAAAAGTATTATTGACTGCCCAACCTTATTAGAAAAGTTTAATATTTGCATTCCCAGAATTTCTTCCAGACACCCGAATACTTTTTATATAAATACATCTCGCACAAATGTTCTGGAAAATTCTCCGCTCCATACCATGTGTACAGTAACAAATTCTATTGTCAATGAACTTGATATATTTAGTTGCAATTTGTCAGATATAAAATCTCACTTTTTATCTTAGTTAATTTGTTACCTATTACGAAATACAAGTTCTTTTTATGTGCTTAACATTCATATAAAAAATGTGATCTATTAATAATTATATTCTGTCAATTCCTGCTCTGTAATTGGGTTTATGACCTGTAGAGTATTGTATTATAAATAAATAAATAATGTTCAATATCCACATAACGATACACGTGTAACAGAAAATGGATTCTTATACACCTTAAAATATGCATATTTGGACAATATCGGTTTATAACATGTGTAACAAAATTATTACCTAGTATAGGTATATTGAATAGATGGTTAAATAACCAAGAAACTGTAACGGCCCACCCCTGTTTTTGATCGTTATTTTATTCTCTGAAATATTATTTACTTCACACGTTTATTTTACTTTAAATTATATACTTACTGTATTTTCCTCAAGTAGTAGAAGTGATCGTCTAGTTAATTAATTGATAATTTATATACCCACGTTGTGATAATGTTAATTAAGGTAAACCAGGATTCGACGCAAAGTTTGGTGCAGTTTGATAAATAAAACCAGACAAATTTATATTTAAACTCTTTTATTTTTCATACTTTAAAAGTGATGCAATAATTAGCAAAGTATATTACAATTAATTGGTACTATTTAGTGAGATCTCAATTGAGTCCCGTTCAAACGCAGAATACGTTATTTAGGTTTATGACCAACAGAGTTAACGAACAGCGCCAATTCGCCAGTTGGTTAACTACTGTGTTGATTTGATTCTATTCTAGAGATACACAGGTTGGGCCCTCTTAGGTAAATATTTCGACGAAAGCAACGAACAGAGCCAATTCGCCAGTTGGTTACTTTACTATGTTGATTTCATATATACTTTGTTTCAAACCTTGTAGGATGGGTGGTTTAGCATATAGGTGTCCCCCCATGAGCTAACGAACAGTGTATTCACCAGTTGGTTAACTTACTATTAAATTTTACCATCTTGTTTGTAAAATTTATCCAAGATAGCACATCCCTGTATACTTCTAAAATATTGATTTTTATACTTTCTATTGAAATGACTTAATAGAACCCAGTATATTTTAATATTGATTTTTATAATTTCTATTGAAATACTCAAAATTTCACCCATCGAAAATATATGTTTATCTTATCTGACCTGAAAACCATGTGGTTTATTGGTTACATTGATATTTTGCAGAAAATGTCAGGCCCTCGCTTAAACGAAACCCTGGTGACATTTCAAAGAAAGTTACATAAATCTTTTGGCTCACCATTGAAAATACATTAGATTATGCACTAATTTCATCTAGCGTTGTGACGCCGTCGATTTAGGTACGTCGCATTGCGTCGAGGTGGAAAGGAAGGTATATTTAATACGGTACTGCATTGGGATAGGTAGTTGGTAGAAATATTTAGGTGGTGCGGCACGTGACGAAGGGTGTCGACAAGGATATTGTGAAGGAAATATTTAGGGGTGGCAAGCGTCGAGAAATAGAGCGATGGGACGTTGGGCGTCGGAATGAATGTAAGATAGGAAATACTTAGATGGTGCGGAATGTGACAGCGTTCGAGACGTAGATATGTAGGAAAGTAGGGCATCGGGATAAATATAACGGTAGGAAACACTAGAGTGGTGTTAGAAGTGATAGCGTAGAAAGGTAGAGAAGTAAGACGACAGGACGTTGGTTGTCGAGACGTTGACACCTTAGGGAAATAGGAGGTATTGTAGGATAGACGTCGTTTAGGAGGAGCGTTTTAGGAAATGTTCAGACTATATATAACTGGGTATAAATAAAAAATGAATGACTCCGAGCTCATTTAGGTCTGACTTCTCATCCTATTTATAATGGCTTTTTGTGACGTCTTTATGTGTCTTAGTTCCCAGCGAAATACGAATGTGGGTGCAAAGGGGGTGGCTGATTTATTACTTGCTTTGAAAATTTTGTGTATCGAAAACAACGTTACTATTCAAACGTACTTAAGATAAGTGTGCCAAGTGTTTCTTGGTCTGGGTTCTCAAACGCGTGTACGAAAATTGGAACTCTTACAGACAGGGTTATAGAAATTTATTAGGTGTCGTAAATAAGATTTAATTATCTGGGAGATTTTTCGTTAAATGAAGGAGTTTGAATTTAATAAGAATGCACTAGTATATTTAATGAATGGAATTAATAAATTATTAAGGTACCTGGGTGCGATAGGTTACAAAACTATTGAAAACAATAAGACCAATAGAATATTTCCACAATTTTTATACATAAGAATTTTTTGTTGTTGTTGTGATGACACGTTTATTAATGCACATGCAACTACTTTTTGTTTACAAATATTTATATATCAACATAGTAGTTGGTACAGGTCCTTTAAAAATAATAAATTTTGATTTAATTGTTCATGTAATTCCCTCTACATGAATTCATACCATAGCAAATTTTCAATTTTATTATATTTATATAAAAAAAAAACAATCAGGCAGTCAAATGGGTTGAATGTAGACTTGTGGTTGCTGCTATTGCTGTAAAGTGGAAACTGTTTACAAAGGACAAAACAAGTGTCTGCTCTCACAATTTACATCCATTCAAGTCACTGGCATATTGGAAATATGGCTAAATTTTCGTTTAGCTGAAATCAATTATGCAAAAACTGTTGTCATGGCAATGAGTAAACAAAAACCCAAATCCCATGGAGATGTTGACAGAGTCGGCTTAGATAGTTCCTTGACAGTTATTGATCTGGACATTATTTTTGATACCACAATATGTTTTTACAACCATATATATTCCATAGTATGAAAAGCCTTCAGAATGCTTGACTTGGCATACTAGGTAGGTGAATGATATTTTATTGCCTGGTGAGAAGTGTCCTGGGATACTGTTCTGTTAATAAATAAAGACGTGCAATACGAATTTCCGCAATCTTCGTTGGGTATTTTGGAAATGTCAATAGGTATTATAAAAACTAAACTTGGATACTAACATAATATATTTCATTTAATTAACTATAAAACTGACAATTAAATAATATCACTTTAGTTTTAAAAATAAAATCACGATGGTTCCACAGCTAAAGGCTGATACATTCAATAATCGGTCAAGTCACATCAATAAATAAAATCAAATCACAAACTGAACATTAATATATTTTATTATTGCTATTTATTTAAACCATCATACTGAATGTATTAAACTTTAGATGTTTACGGGTTATTTAAGAGCTTAATGTAACTGCGAATATGTTTGTGTACCCAATGAATTTATTTTTTGTATATCAATTGTTTCTATTATAAGAAAAATGTCATCACTTCGAAAATTGCCTGAATTGTATTCCTTTGAAAACCAAAATATATTGAGATACTTATTTAATATGAAGTTGATGGACTGTTATTGTAAAGAGTGTTTCACAAAAATGTTTCTAAAATAGACCACAACCGACACAGATATATAATATACGAGTCACGCCCTTGATAACTTCACATTGTTCTGAATTAAATCTAGACTGCCACTTAAAAAGAAGGACTATTTTAGAAACGTTTTTTTGGGGATGACTCTGTATATTTGACTAAATGATTCTTAAAAAAATCAACTTTTAAATTCCCCTATACATTAATTCTGTAAAAAACTCTAATATTTGCTGTATTTTTTATATTAATAAATGTACTCAACCAAAATATCTACTTCGGAATAAATAAATGTTTTTTAAAAGGTTTTCAAAGTAAATGATAAATGAATGTACAAAAAATTTAATAACACTTGTATATCATAAATTGCTGACTAGTATATGTGATAGTTTGCTTTCTCTACAAAAATATATTTAAATTAAACCGTTCAGTTTATAAAATTATTCAAAAACAATTATACAGTGTGGGAGATTAAGTAATAACCTCTTGTATAGAGTCCGTAAAACAAAACAAAAAACTCTCGACGGATATTATGAAATGTCATGACAGAAAAATAAAATTCTGCAATTTAGTTATGGTTACATTAGATAATCAAATATTCCAAAATATTTTACGAAAAATTATCAATAAAATTATTTTGCTCATGGAGCACAATTTCTTTAAAAGGTACACAAGTTAACAAACATTAAAATTTTAATTCTGCTCTTATTAAAAAAACCAAATAAAATTGATTAATCTCCAATTCTAAACTTGAAGAACATCATATTATATAACGTTATATATATTAATTTTAAAGTCCTACTTACTGATTATTTTTTTTTTAAATTTTATTTCACACAAATTTGCAATTTCTTTCTTTGAGTCCTAAAAATCGACTACAAGAAATTTATATATTTAACAATACCGTAATTATTAATATTTCAGCAGTAACGTGGATCTTTTAAATTAAATAGTACGGATTATTAAAGGCCACATTGGAGTTTTTGTTCAGGTGAAAAATGAGTAGATATAGTTTTTTTGTTTCAAGTTTTGTAAGATTATTATAGACTGTATATTTTTTATTTTACCTCAATCCTTCTAAATATTAGAAATTTTGTATGAATTTTATGTTAGAAATTATAATGAGATCTAATTTGCATTACAAAACCCTTTTGCTCAAATCAATCTTTAATATTAAAAGAGTCAAAATTAATTTTATATCTACCCAAAATTTTGCCTTTTGTAGAAGAAAACATAAAAAACGATTGATACGGTACGTTTATATTAATCTCTTGAATGTATATTATATATTATTTTATATAAAACTACCCCCTGAAAGTGCATTGAGAGCCTCGAAGGGTACAATCACAGTCTGTTTGAATAATAGATGGACTTTTTTCGAGGAGCACGCCCTTTTCCATTTCGTTCATCTCCTCGGTGTTGCCGCCCATCATGTTTGCAGAATTTCTTTGCCTACAAATGTAGGGCGTGTTGTTGGGAGAAGGTGTCTCCCGACCCTGGAAATAAACAATAAATCTGATTATTTCAAAATCCATTTATTTTATACTCTTAAAAAAAGAGGTATAATCTTAATATTAATAATAATAATCAAGAAAAGAAAATAAAAAAGGTAATAATGGGCACATCCCACGTTTTTAACTTTTTTTTTAGAAATGTGCCCTTTGCTACATTTTTAAATAAATAATAATTGTTAATAAACCAACCAGACAAAATATTCATTTCAAAGAATTGTGTTTGACTAATGCTTTTGAATAAATACAGTGTGTATCAGCCAAATGGAATAAATTCAGTAGCTCAGTTAATGTGCATATTTATAAAAACTCTGGAAACCGTCAAATTTAGATTATAAAATTTCACCCCCACCTTCAACCCCCTTTGACTGACAGTTGCATTCCCCAAATTTGTAAATAGGAAGTAGGGGTATGTGATACTTCAATTGAAAGGTATTTTCATTCTCTATTCTAAAATACTATGGTTTTCAAATTTATTGTAAAAATTTGCTACAACAATTAATAATTACTAGAGTTTCTTTCTTGATAATGAGAAAGCAAGTAAAAACAATTTCAATGGCATTCTTCGACGAAATTAACAAAAAAAAAAGACAATGTTATTAACTTTTTCTTTCAATGGCATTCTTCGACGAAATTAACAAAAAAAAAAAAAGACAAAGTTATTAACTTTCTTCATAGTAATGAAGATTTTAAATGAGGTGGCACCAAAGAGAACTACAAATATCGCCAAAATTCTTGGACCCTCCTCGTAAATATTAAAACGAAACATTTAATCTTTATTTATTTCACCGTTGATATGCATCTAAAAATGTTTACAAGAACAATTTCCCACAATTTTAGGTACCAATGTTTAAAAAGTGGTTCATATTGTTACGTTATAAAATAATTAATAAATATCTAAATAAATAAATTAAATGACGCCCAGTATATTATAAAATCCATCTAACAAAATATTTTAATTATCAGCAATTTATTATTATCTAAACAATTGGTCAATATTAAAAATACCGTGGGGAATGGGAGAAAAGAATGGATACGGGGTCATGCTGGCTTGGGGTGTCGGCCTAGGGGGTTAAGTGAAATTAGGTAAAAAGTCAGGTTGTGTCTAATCAGTGAACAAAGGGTGCCCTCAAAAGAATGTAAGTAGATTAATCTTATTTTACTATGTCTATATTTTCGATAGTGGAAAATATAATTGTGTTTTTTGTAAGTGTTCTTTTCTGTGTTCTCCTCCAACCCTTTCTGGTAGTTAGTGGCTACGCTGACGGGGTTAATAAAACACCCCGTAGCAATATCAATTTTGCCTGTTTAAGTGATTGTTGAGTTTTTTTGCAACTATGCCTGGCAATAGAATTTCAGTGCTCAATAGCAAGAACAGTGGCTTTGCATGATGAGGGTCTGTCGAATCATCGAATCGCAGATAGACTAGGAATTCCCCGGGCTTCAGTTATCCAAATAGTGCGTTTGTACCAGGAAACTAACAGCGTTGACTGGAGACGTAGCAGGTTATGTACGTCGAAATCGAACCGTAACAGTCTCAGCTGACCGAACTCATTTTAGAAGTACATATGGTTGATTCATTTCCAGTACCACAATACGACGGAGACTTGCTGGAGCCAATTTACGATCTAGGAGACCATTAAGGGTACCCAGGTTACTTCCCAGACATATAGCTGCTCGTCTACAGTGGGCACAGGAACACAGAGACTGGCTTTTAGCTCAGTGGCGAAATGTTCTTTTTTCGGATGAAACCAGATGTGGTTTAATTAGTGATAGTCAGCGACACAGAGTTTGGAGATGGCCAGTGCGACCAGAAAGACTATCTTCTGCCAGAGAAGTCGTTCCATAGCAAGGAGGAACAGTAATGTACGCAGCTTATTCCCATTCCAGATACTATGACAGCGGATAGATATGTTCGAAACATTATTAAATCTATTATTTATCCTCTCCGAAATAAAATTAGAGTAAATTTTATTTTCATGGATGACAATACTAGGCCCCATCGCACGAGAAGGGTACAAAATGCACTAGAAATTCAGAATATTCAAAGATTATCGTGGCCAGCAAATTCGCCAGATATGAATCGCATTGAGCACATGCGAGATTTCGTTGGACGAGCAATCTTAAACAGAATTAATCATCCTGTCGCCTTCCAGGAACTCACAGTCGCAGCCCAAGAAGAATGGTACAACATCCCAATGGATTACATTAACACCCTTATTGTTTCCATGCACATGCGAGTTAATACCTTACTACAGAACAGGGGATGACACATTGAATATTAATGAATTTTTGATTTCGCTCTAAAGTGGTTTTCTTCTCAATTTGAAATTCTAGTAATAATTTTATTATGCACTATTTTTCGTTTGTATTTTTTTCTTGTTCAGTTAAAATTTAATTCAGCCAATTTGTATTGGATACATAACTAAAATAAATGTACTATAAAACACACTTCTTGATTTTTAATAATAGTGTCTCATTTTGACAAACATAAGGGGTCCAAAAATTTTGGCAATGTGTGTATTAAGATTTTTCCAAAATTTAGAGTTTGGTGGAATGATACAGTGCACACTGCAACTAAAGATAAGGATGAGGCTTATAAAAATTATGTATCAAACAAAACATAACAAAATAAAGAATTATATAAACAAAAAAGTAATAGGACTGTTAAAATTATTAGAACGGAAAAGAGAAAATATTATGACTCTCAAATTATGGAAATTAAAAATAATTCTATTAAATTATGGAATATGCAACTGTTACCTTTACGCAAAAAATGTAAGGAGTAAAAAAATAGTTTTTTTTTAATTTTGCAGGGTAAAAGTGACTCCCTGAACCCATTAAACTCAAAACATTTCTAAGGCAAAATGTTAAAAAAAAATCAACTTTACAAGCCTTGTAGCATTTGAAATTCACTGCAAAATGGGGTTTTGAGCGATTAGATATCTTTCAAATTAAGAAAGTTATCGATAAATACCAATCAGATGTGCTATGAAAACTGTATCAATGTTATCACTAAAAATAGTGCTGTTAAACATGCAACATGCAAGCATATTAAGATTTACAAATCTAAATATGGATTGTAGGCAATACAAGTCGTTAAACTGATTGAGGATGGTTTGAAACTGAAGATTCGTTACATTCAAATAAAATTAGAAGAACTAATTAAAATTATACTTTGTAATTCTAAAAAAGAATTTGACGCAACTTCTTAAGTTTAATTATTTATTGACTTCCCCTCGTATCTTATATTTTACTAATGGTAATATGGTTGGATATGAATTTTATCGTCATGCCCGCGCTTGTCAGTAAAGACGAAAAAGTTACTGGTGAACAAGATACACATGTTCAATTATGCTGAGTAAATTCAAATCTGTGTCCTCTTTTCCCACCTGGGGGTCAATTCTCGACTTGTAGGAACCTTTTCCTATAGGAATTTGTGACACTTTCCTATATGTAGGACAATGTCATAAATTTTCGATGTATATAAAAATGTCAAAAATTCCTATAGGAAAATATTCCTACGAGTCGAGAATCGACCCCCTGGAATATACCATTCTCCTGGGGGCGAGTCGTCTTTTAATATCAATGCGTTTCTTGTTTGGAAATTAAAATAGTTGAACAAACTTAAGAAATTTATAAAAAAGTTAACTAACAACCACCTTTTCGAATTTATAGTCAATATTCAAAAAATTTTATGGTCCTTCAAGCAGGATTTTGGGTGAATCACATTTTTATAAATATGATATGTTTGGAAATCAGTCGATTTAACTTTTGTATACATACCGTTTTTGTACATAGATACACTGCGTTCTTAAAAAACCACTAACAAATAATATAGCTTTTTTTTTGTCAAAATATACAAACAATAATGATCTAATGGTTTTTACGATTTTTGACTATTTAATCATTTTTACTCACGAGTACCCAATTTGTAAAACATAAGCAACTATTATCTTCAAGAATCGAAATAGAACAAAGTTTTTTTCTGTACTTTAAAACAAATTTTTGGCATTTGAAATAATTTGTTAATATGTTCATTATTTACAGTCTGTTGCAAGATTGTTGTTGACAGATGTTTAGATTGAATAATTTTAAATTTCATGTCTCAATTTCGAGTTTTGATAAAGTTTATCAGGCTCATAAATCTTAATGGAAGCGCTCGCCACCGAACCGTGGCGCGGAGCGCCACTGTGCCACCCAAATTACTCTACGACTCACAGAATTGATCCGTTTTAGACGTGCGTCACCTTAAAATGTTCGTCTTGAGTTTGCCTATCGACCCTTGTTCCGGGATTTTTGATTTCGAATTTTATTTTTCTGTAATTTGTGTCCAAAAATTTACTTTCATGGAAAAATGGCGATTTTGGGTGCAAAAGTCATCCTAGCGAACGCAACATTGAGTTTTTACAAAACTTTTTTGAAGGAAACTCTTCCTCTTGACAACCCCTACAGCCCTGTGTACGTCAAATTGCGAGAGAAATTGGCCGTCATGCCTAAAAACGACCATAGTGATCCAAAACTATTGATGCGAAAGGAAATTGTTCCTCAAAAATCTATTGGAACAAAAATCTAAATTTGTTTCAATAAAAAGTGTTTGTAATCAATCCAGCAATACGTAAAAATTTTCTCAGAATGTTTGAGGATATTTTTGGCCATTTAATTTGGCCAGGAAATCGCCAAATTCCAGAATCTCGGAAAATTTCCAAAAATTCTGTAAAAATTCGGACATATTCCTTAAGTGATACTGAACACTTTTCGTTCAATTTCGTTCAATTTCTCTCGCAATTTGACGTACACAGGGTTGTAGGGGTTGTCAAGAGGAAGAGTTTCCTTCAAAAAAGTTTTGTAAAAACTCAATGTTGCGTTCGCTAGGATGACTTTTGCACCCAAAATCGCCATTTTTCCATGAAAGTAAATTTTTGGACACAAATTACAGAAAAATAAAATTCGAAATCCAAAATCCAGGAACAAGGGTCGATAGGCAAACTCAAGACGAACATTTTAAGGTGACGTACGTCTAAAACGGATCAATTCTGTGAGTCGTAGAGTAATTTGGGTGGCACAGTGGCGCTCCGCGCCACTGTGCACCGGTTGACAGTATTTTAAAATTATTAAACGTAATTTAAATACTTTTATGTGCGATCAGAAATTGAACTTATTACCCTTACATAAAATTACCTATTTTTCAACCCTATTAGTTTTGGCTTATTGACGATACTATAATTTTTTGAACAATCAGGGTATTTTAAAGGTTTCCTGCTTCATTGCGAATTTTCTGGGATCAAATCCATATTACACATGAATCTCAAAGCACGAATTTCATTATTCGTCATCCTTTTTCTTGCAACACTTTAATCTCCCCCATCCCTTTAGATTCCTTCATTCCGTCCTTATCATTAGTTTTCATTTCTCCCTTTTCCATCAATTCCGTTGCTTCGCCTTTATCTGTATTCTCTTTAAATTCTGGATTTTCTCCGATTTCTTTCGGTTCGTTCGCTTCGCCCCTTCCATTTCTCGGCTTAGTGCCTTTTCTTTTAGCAATTTTAGCTTTTGCTTTCAATTCTTTCGCCAATCTCTTCAGTTCCTTCATTTTTGCTTTCGCTTCTCTGGCAGCTCTTTGTTCTTCCTCTTGCTGTCGCAAATATTTCATGTACTATAAGAAACGGGATTTGGTTAAAAGGAGAAATCGATTATTGTTGTCACAACTTTCTGAATGTGAAATATAAATGAGAGCATATCAAGAAAAAGCAGCATATGAGTAGAAACGCAGGATTTTATATTAAAAATATGTTTCCAAAACGTTTAGTAAATGTGATATCAATCTTGATAAATTATAGACCATTTAAAAAGCAATAATTTATATTTTTGATAGGTTGCTTGCGACTAGAGATCGATTATATAAGTAAAAAACCGAAAAAAAAATATATTTTTGTTGGAATTTATGGGAGATTTATAATGTATTATGGTCTGTAGTAACTTTGTATATACTCTCTCTGTGCCAGTATGAAACTAGTTACATTATTTAACTATTTTATTTGATAAAAATATCTAAAATCATCATGACAAAATATGGATTGAACGGATTTTTCGAACTTTTCCTGTTTATTGGATCGAATATCTGAAAATCTTAAACAAAAATAAGCCGTAAGTAATTACTAACCTGTTTAGAAGGTCCGCAGCAAGTATTCCTCATACAATTGTCAATGTTACTACCTTTAGGACAATCTAACACACAATCTTCGGATAGGTCAGCTTGTTCCTTGGAAGTCGTCGGTATATCAGAATAATCTATAAATTCGGGCTGGATTGTCGTTGAGTGGATACCCTCATTGTGAAAGAATTCTTTGACTTTTTCTGCTATTTTCATGTATTCGGAAAGATTTCTACACCTGGAAATATAAAACAATTTAAATGGAAACACTAAAATACACAAATGCGCGGAAAGGTCACAATTGTTTTTTTTTTATTTTTGAGACATAACTCGGAAAATGGATTATTCCAACTTAGAAGAGCCGGAAAAAATCGATTTTACTGTTTTAGAACTCGGAAAAACAGATTATTCCAACTTAGAACTAGGAAAAATCAATTTTTATGACTTACAACTCCAAAAAATAAATTTTTATGACGTATAACTCGAAAAAATAGATTATTCCGACTAAGAACTCGAAAAAAATAGATTATTTCGACTTAAAGCTAAGAAAAATCGATTTTTATTACTTACAACTCCAAAAAAATCAATTTTTATGAGGTATAACTCTGAAAAAATGGATTATTCCGAATTCGAACTCGGAAAAATAGATTATTCCAGCTTAGAATTCGGAAAAATTGATTTGTCCGACTTACAGCTAAAAAAATAGATTATTTCGACTTAAAACTTGAAAAAAATCAATTTTTATGTCTTATAACTCGAAAAAATAAATTATTTCGACAGACCTAGGAAAAATCGATTTTTATTATTTACAACTCCAAAAAATCAATTTTTATGAGGTATAACTCGGAAAAAATAGATTATTCCGATTTCGAACTCGGAAAAATAGATTATTCCGGCATAGAATTCGAAAAAATTGATTTGTCCGACTTACAACTAAAAAAAAATAGATTATTTTGACTTAAAACTCGAAAAAATCGATTTTATGATTTACAACTCCAAGAAATCAATTTTTATGTCTTACAAATCGAAAAAATAAATTAATTCCGACTAAGAACTCGGAAAAATAGAATAGAATAATTTATTTTTCCGAGTAATGAGTCAGAAAAATTGGTTCTTCCGAGTTGTAATTCAGAATAATCTAATTTTCCGAGTTCTGAGCCGGACAAATCGATTTTTCCTAGTTCTATTTTTCGAGTTATTATTCGGAATAATCTAGTTTTCAGAGTTATAAGTCAGAAAAACTTTTTTTTTTTTGAGTTCTAAGGCGGAATAATCTATTTTTTAGAGTTAAGTCGGGATAATCTATTTTTCCGGGATGAATTCTGTTCTGTTCTGAGTAGGAATTATATATTTTTCCGAGATGAAAGTAGGAATTATCTATTTTTACGAGTTCTAAGTCATTAAAATCGGTTTTTCCGATTACTGAGTCGAAATAATCTATTTTTCCGAGTTCTCAGTTGGACAAATCAATATTTCTGAGTTCTAAGTCGGCAAAATAGATATTTTGAGTTCTAAGTCGGCAAAATAGATATTTTGAGTTCTAAGTCGGAATAATCTATTTTACCAAGTTCTAAGTCGGAAAAATCGATTTTTCGGAGTTTTAAGTTGAAGTAATCCATTTTTCACAATTGTAAGTCGGAAAAACAATTAAAAACCCATTTAGTGGCCCTTCTACGCTTTCGTAAAAGTACCTTGTACCCAAACTGGTTCGGAATACTACAAATTTTGGAAACTGGATATAGTTTAAGCAGTCTTGCGAGCTTTGATTTTGTGTAACTTACCAATTAACTATATTTAAAAGGTACCTTCTCTCTAACAATTTCTTTCAAACACGTTGTACGTGTAATTAAACGTCACTTAAAATTTTTATATAAAAAAAAACCATCTACCTAATATGTGCCGAAGCTATGATTCTGTCTCCAGCCAACTGCCACACGTGGAATTCATGTACAGCTAGAACCCCATCTACTTTTGCCAATAGTTTGTTTTGAATCGCGTCTACTTGAATATGCGTCGGTACTGTCTGAAGTAAAATTAAGGCTGAATCTCTTAGAAGCGGCCACACAGAGTTTAGAATTAGCAAAACTAGAAGAATACTGAGAGCGGGATCAATGTAATATTTGTATTTCCAGTCTGTAAGCCAAAAGACCTGTAAATGACAAAAGGAAAGGTAAAACAAATGAGACGAGAAAATGTTTGTTCCAAAACTCACCAATGCCGAAACAATGACGATGACTGAACCCAAGGCGTCAGAGAGAACGTGTAAGAAGACTCCGCGCATATTCATCTGGCCAGCAGAATGACTATGTTCCATTTTCTTATCATCTATTCTTGGCGTTGGACTAGGAAACGTTTCGTCGTTTTCATTGTCATCGGTAATTGCTAATTGGGTCAATCTATTTCTGCTATGGGAGAGCCTTCCATGAGAATGGCCATGGGAACTGCCATGCTCTATAAGTTAAAAAAAATAATGAAATTGTATTGACACGCTTCATTTAATATTAATTTATTATTTAAATAACACTCTGTACATAAAACTTTGTTTAAATATGTTACGAATTTGTTGTTATTAATGCTAGCTATTTTCTTATTTCAAAATGATCCTGGTAAACTATGAAAAAAATTGACTTACCATGGAATAGAAGTAATCCCACTAAATTAACTAAAAGACCAATTCCACCTACTACGACGAGTAGTTGTGGATCATGTATGGTCTCCATTTCTATGAACCTCTTACAGGCTTCGACTGTGATTGAAAAACATAATGCTACTAAAAATACGGCATTTACAAGTGCTCCTAATACTTCTGCTCTAGCCCAGCCGAAAGTGTTTTTCGACCATTTCTTTGGTGACATCTAAAAAAAATATTAACTGTTTTAAATACAAAAAAAAAAACACTAAAAAGTTCAAAGGTCAAATGGCAAAATTGTTAAAGCTTGTTTATTAAGATAAATGGTGTGATATTTTTATTGTTTCAATTTCTTTGACAAATTATTGATATTTTAATTGCAAAAAGTACTTATAAAAAAAATACCGCTTGTACTCTTTTAGATTAACAAAATTAGATTTATTTCCTGTCCTAAAGAAGACGTAAAAAAAGTTTGACGAAACATTAATATGGTTCTGTATAAAACATTATGACATTTTTAGAAAATAATAAACAAACGTTCAGTAGGTACTTACCTTAACAGATAAAAACGCTACTACTAAGGCTGCTACATCGCTAAGCATGTGAAAACTGTCTGCCACTAACGCCATAGAATTTGTGATATAGCCTACGACTATTTCGACGAAAAAGAATAATGTTGTCATCCATAACATCGACAATAAACGACATTTTTTGCCAGTAAATTTTCCCATTACAACTGAAACAAGTAAAAAAGAAAATATTAGTTTACTCTTTTTGGTGATAATCTATGTAAACTATGATCATTATATACGCTATAAGCAGGCTGTGTAAACTACGATTATTAATACAAATCTATTAATGTACTATAACAACGCATCGACATTTTTAATCATATTTACCTAGAAGCAAACGAAGTAATCTTTATTTTTCTAAGAAAACGTTCATTCATCTGTTTAATCACGAATTTAAAAGAAAATTGGTAGTAGATAATAATTAAATTTGTTTTTCTATATTCGGATGTCGACCATCATCCTTTGTGTTAAAGGTTTTAGCCTTTAAAATTATCATAAAACTTCTCTAGAGTATAAAGACAGCATTTAAGTCACTTTTCCTCTTAAATAAATTTAGGGATAAGTTATTTAAACCATTATGTATGATATACAAAATGGGATCTTTGATAATTAAACGACTTTACCGAAAGTGTATTACATTTCGGATATAAATTTCATTTTTATTTCTAGTATTATAATTATGTATAAATGATTTTGTCAGACCTTTCTTTATTTTTGTGAATATTTGTAAGCAGTTGTTGTATATATAATCCCACAATTGTAAGTTAATTAAATTGCCTAAATAACCTAACCTAAAAAACCCCTCTACACGAAAATAATGGTGGTTTATTTGCAAGAGCCCTTAATATATGTTTTTGAATTAGAAAAACGTCGCAATACTAGTGGAGCATCCCCAAATTGTTATTCCAAACAGGAGTTTTAAATGCGCTTGTCTAAAATAGAAAGTTAGTAGTCCTTCTTCTCTAAGAACCTCTCTTAGTACTCTAATTTTATTACTTGGAAGGTAAATGTCTATACTAATGCCCAAAAAAGTAACAGAATCTCTGTCTAATAAAAAAGACCAAGCTAAACGACGTCCTCTATAAAAAGCGGAGTCCCACAATAGATCTGAAAAGGTCGCGGTAGACAAATAATGTCCAATTCCTTTCAAATCTAATCTAGGAAGCGCCTCATGAAGTATGGGGAATAGTCCCCTCTCTAGTCGGACTATGCATTGTACACGGATGGCTACAAAACTAAAAAATTAGTAAGATTGTGCAAAAAGCCACGATAGCATAAATGTTCACAGATAAAAACATTTAAAATACATTTTTTTAAAGTCATATTCTTAGAAAATACTTGCAATTATGTTTTGTTTACAAATAATTTTGCTGCATACCATTATGTTTTATATTAAAAATCTATTCTTAGAATTTGCGATAAAATATTTTTTAAATTAGATATTTTACGAAATGAATATGGTGTGTGGGTGGTGATGGGTATTATACCTTGGTATTTCCCGTATTTTCTCAGCCAGCAAAAAAAATAATTTACAAGTATATTCATACTCTTGAATTTTAAATTGGGACTTACGTGATTCTTTAACTTAATATTTGGGACATTACTTATTGTATTTGCATTATTCTAGGCACTGTATAAAATCAAACAGTAAGTTTGCAAAAAAATATGCAAACTGACGGCCGGCGCAAAAACTTCGGATGGCTTTCTTTTCTGGTAAAATTTAAGTTGGAATCTTAAAATTTTCATCCCACTACCCGCCCCATTCTGCCTCAATTTTCTTATGTCAAAGTTTTCAATGAGGTAATAAATTTATAATAAAAAAAATTGAATAAAAATGGAGTGCTAAGAGGTGTTGAAATTTAAAAGAAAAATCGGCAATTAAAAACGAAAAGCGATATTTTTGCTAGGTATTTTTAGTAAAAAATAAAACTATAAGGTGATAAATCCTATCGACTCAAAAAAAAGCTGTATAAAAATCGGGGGAGTGTGTTAAACTGTGAAGAGTATAATATACAGTATAGTTCAAATAAAAGGAATAAATTCATTATAATGGAAGCAGTTGGTTTTTAGAAAAAAATGCTCGGACAGGTCAATTTTGTTTATTAAAAGAGCAATTTTTCAAAAAGAATGCCAGTTCCCCATTTCCCATTTTTGGGCAGTGACGTCATTGACAATTTTTTTTTCTTGATTTTGATAGATCTTGCAAAAATTGTTTATATGTAAGAAAATGCAAATATTATGTTTCAAGATCTACCAAAATCAAGAATAAAAATTGGGGTTACTATTGTCAATGACGTTACTGCACAAAAATGGGAAGTGTGGAAAACTTGAATTCTTTTTGAAAAATTGCACTTTTAATAAACAAAATTGACCTGTCCGAGCATTTTTTCGGAAAAATCAACTACTTCCATTATAATAAATGTATTCCTTTCATTTGAACTATTGTGGCTACGTAATTGATAGGTAACTTACCCTGTTTATAACAATTTTTTTTTTTTAATAAAACTATACAACCAAAAACTCAAAATAATTTAAAACCACACATCTACAGCTATTCCAAAGTCAATTAAATTAACCCATTGTTTTAATATGCATGTAAACAAACAATTCGAAATATTCACTAGTTATTTGGTCCGATAAAAAAAATAACATGATGTCATTTTTTTAATAATAACAACAATAATATTAACTATTTTTCAATACTTATTATATATAAATCATTGAATAATAATTAAAAAAAAAGATATAGGTACTCCTTCCATATGAATTCAAAATTTTAAGAGATACCATTATTGTTTTCGTTCATTATTAGAAATCAAATTTTCCTTCTTTATGATCCCTAGATGATTCAAACTTATTATCAAATACAAGACATTTCCTGTGGATAAAATTTTTAGGTTATCAAAATACTACTAAAAAAAGAAAATAACCAACTTTTCGCTCACACAATTATTTTTATTCACATTATTATTTATGTTCAATAATTTCATTTGGATACATTAAAATTGAGTGTTATTTTTTATCTATCTGAAACAATGTATTGTACTTTTATTAAAATACAAAGTGAACAAAGAATTAAGGTATTATTTATTCACTGATTTAATGATTAGTTTACCAAATTAATAAATCAAATAATAAAATAATTGTTCCCTAATGCACATTACTGGAATCAAATAGGTAGAAAAAAGACGAATATTACAAAAAAATTAAAATCATCGCAATTGGAAAGCTTAGACTAAATTTGATTTGCCAAACTTTTTTGAACTAACAAAAAAATATAAATATTACAATTATTATTTATAATCGTTAAATTTTATTAATGTTACAATGTTTAAAAAGTAAGGTTTCTGAACAAGTTAAGTTTCCTTGAATAATTTAGTCACGTATTAATTTTTAAGATTGAACATTTTGATTGAATGACATTGTATCAATACCATTTGGATATTAGAAATACCTACCTTGATTTAAAAGCACGATTACATTAACAATAAGTGTACACAAAAATTAATATCTTAAAAATTCTGTATTATGCACATGTTATATTTTGTTTTTTCAGGTTTAGGACTTACTTACTATTGGTAATATAATTTACGAAAAAATTATATCTACTGGTCCGCTGTTTTATTTAAATACTTTTTAATAAATTTTGACACACAAAGTGTCATCTTTTGTAATCGCAGCAAGTATTAAAATGATCTATTTTAACATAACTGTCTACTAAGGATTATTGTTTTATTAATCGACTATTAATCATTTGCCAATTTCGATTAATCGATTACCAATTTCGATTAATCGATTAATTTCGAATAAACGATTAAGTTCGATTAATCGATTATTTTCAATAATCAATTATTTATTTTGATAGTCGCCCGGCCTTTCTGTTAACATAAAGTTGTAAATTAAGTAACTGGCTACGAAAATTTATCAGGTGAGCTATCAATGCACGTGGCTTTGACAGTCGGTAGAGGCGGGGACGCGTATAATTCGAACGTTCCAGGTTCAATGCCCGGTCGATGCAGACATTTTTTCTTTTCTTTATATTCTGTTTTTTCAATTTTTCTTTGGTTTGTTTTTACTTTGGGGATAAGGGGTGTATTTTCCATAATGTCGTAGAGGGGATTATATTTTCTCATATTTCCGAAATTGCGAATTCTTAGAATATTGACTAGAAATATTGAAAAGCTCGCATTAAAAAAGAAGAAAATATTTCTATTTTTTTTCATAATTGCCGCATGAGGGGTAATTTTTCATTTTAATTTTTTCCGTAATGTGTATTAAACAATGCTCTGACTAAGGGCATGTATACTATGGAGATATTCTTAGACCTCAAATGAGGGTTCAAAACTATCATGAAATATTACTCAAAATATTAAAAAAAAATTGGCATAAAAGGCAAAGTATTTGATTGGATCTGTGATTACCTTACCTACAGAAAACAGGTAACTAAAATTAATGATTCTGTTTCAACATCAATTGATGAAGTACATGAAGTTCCTCAGGGAAGTATTATAGGGTCATTGCTATTCCTAATTTATATTAATAGTATCAGCAATTGTAGTGAATGTGATTATGAACATCTTTTTGCTAATAACGCAAATATATCGGTTAGTGATAATGATCTAGATGTAGCTTCTCAAAAAAACGAACAATTTAACAATCTTGCTAGATATTTAAAAATTAATAAACTAAAACCATTGTATTTAGATTAAATATTTAGAATAAATACAATGCTAAAACAAAAACTATGATCTTACTACACTTTTTAAATACAAAGAATTAGATTTAATTAAATTGAAATAAAAATTGGAAATGAAAAAATTGAGCTAGTAACAGAATTTAAATAGTTAGAATTCTTGTTAGATAATCAAACATTTTTCACTTAATAGCCATTTTAATTTTTTTTAAGAAATTGTACTTTTTTTCTCAATGTCTCAGTACTTAACTATGCAGTCAAAAATAACAGTATATAAGACTATTATTCAACCTCATTTTGAATATTATCCTACTCTGTTGTACACATCTGAATTTAAATAAAATAGGAACCCTACAAAAAAGCAAAATTGCGCAATGAGGATTATTTTGAAATGTAACAGGTATACCCAAAAATCTTTAAGACCGCCATTTCAGTGTATTTTACATAGCCAAACAGAGGTTTTATAATTAT